TAGTGTGACATACTTAAAAAAATAATGTGACATCAAAGAGTTATATAATTTTAAATATAATGTGACATCAAAGGGTGACATAATTTTAAAAATAATCTGTCATAATTAAAAAAATAGTGTGACATCAAAAAAAGACATAATTTTAAAAATAGTCTGACATCAAATACCAGAAAATTGATGACCCATCTTGTAGAAGACCGCTAATGGGTATCAGTGGCTGTTTGAAAAAGATAAATATGAAAAATAATGATTACAATTTGAATCAATATACAACAAAAACATTAACTATCAAATATGTTTTTGTAATCTTTTTATAATTCAAACAATTAATTGCCATTTAAAATAGGAATCCACCAATCAATAAAAACAAAACAAAAAAAAAATTGTCATTTAAAATAGGAAACCACCAATCAATAAAAACAAAATTAAAAAAAAAAAGGAAATTACTACATATTTCATAAAATAAGTAAGGGCATTTAGATACTATTAAAATATGAAAATTTTAAAATATGTACTTAGCTGCCAAATATTTTATAAAAAATATACTTACTAACTTAAAAGTTTGGACGATAGATTTTTTCGCGAATTTTTTAGAAAATGGGTACCTCCTCACAAATTTTCCAAGAAAAATTGATGCTTGTTGGGTGGGCATTGGGCATTTGGGTATCGTGTGTATCGAATATTAAGAATGAATTCATATTGAGACTTAATTTATTGATTTAATTTATTATAGTCATCAAATTAACTATATATCCTATCTAATATTAGAACTTATATTGAGTTAATTCACTATAATCATTAGATTGACGGTATGTCGTATCTAATTTTAGAACTTTTATTGATAGTCATTAGATTGACTATATGTCCTATCATTTGTGTTAATTCAACGGTCATTAAATTAAATTTTAAAATTCCAATAGTAATATCTACATGATTTTTCTTTGAAGAATCACCACCTTTGTTTGGAGGAGGTAATAACTCTGACTCAGACTTTCTCTTAAATTACTTCTCCATGTCTGTTGCAAAAAATTATTCAATAAAATGGATTTATACATCCACTTTTGCAATTAATTAAACAAACTATTTTGTAATTTATCGCTAATATTCTAAAGAATATATTGTATTATAAAACAAATACAAGTATAAATACTAAAATATATCCAATTTATAATTTTAATAAATCCAAGCAATATCATTCAAAATATTAAAAATAAGTTCGGATTGAGAGCTACCAAAAAATACTTTTTACTGTCAACTCAATAATCGCAACTCAAGTTCTTCAAGGCATCCCCAATTACTAATCCGAACTATAACAAATCAAGATAATAATTTGGTTAAAATACACAACAACAAAAAAAATTAGGAAAAAATGCATAAAAATTCAAATAAGGGCAAAATGCACAAAAATATATATTAGGGTTAAAAATTAAAATGTAAAAAAAATCAGAAAATTACCAAGACTAATTAATTCAAAATTTTAAAAATAAAAAACTAATTTATTTTTTTTGTGTGTTGTGTGCAGTGTGCACGTGTGTTGATCAAGAGAGAGAGAGAGAATTTACTTGTGGCGTTGTCGATGGTGGCCTTGGTGGGTGCAAGTAACGACGAATAAACTCAAGGAAGGGAAATGTTTACTCTTTTTTTCTATTTGGCTGGGCAGCTTGGGTGTGAGTAAGAGATAAGAGAAAAAAAAAATGAAAGATATGATAGTTGTCGGGTAATGTCTGTTGTAGTGGGCCAAAAATTTTATTTTTTAATAGGTTTGGGTGGATTGTGATGGGTCAAATATTTAATTTTTTAATAAGTTTGGATAGATAATGGTAGACTCAAATTTTTTTGTTTTAAATTGACTTAGTTTTTTAATTCTTTTGGGCAGATAATGTGGATCTAACATTTTTATCTTTAGTTTTGGGTGAGCACAAATAATATATTATACAAATATATAATATATATACCTCAATAAAAAAAAAATTTGAAAGGAGTACTTGTCCACCCTGTCCCATGCCTCCCTCCGCCTCTGATTGGTACTTGAGTACATATGTACTGATACATGTATAAACACTATGTGTGTGTGAGTAAGTTGTGCATAGAACTTTACAAAGAGAAAAGAGGAGAGGAGAGAAAGAAAAAGAAGAAGGATGAGAAGGAACAATGTCAGCAAACTAATAGAGAAAGAGAGTTGGGTTGTCGTAAACTTTGAATTTTTGTTTGGGTTCGAATTGAAGGATGATCTTCTTGGTAAGTTAACCATTTTTTTAAAATATTTGTGTTATTGATCATAGTTGTGAATTTCTAGATTTTTTATTTATGTTTAGTAATAGTTTTATATGGAATTGAAGGATTGAATTGTTGGTATGTATTCATGGGAGTTACAGGATTTGAGAGGGGTGGTTGAAGATGAAGTCTGTAAATGTTTCGTAACAAAAACATTGGGATGAACTAATAAAAACATCAATGAATCAGTACATCGAGTCTCTAATGAGATTCTGTGAGGTGATGAATCGGTACAATATTGACGAACCGGTTCATCAGAAAATCTCACAAGAGGCTTGATTTGGCAGTGGAAAATATTTTCTCTATTTATTAGTCCAGAATAAAAGTAATTTTAGTAAATAAGAAAATTCAAATTCGTGAACGATCGCTCGATCGGTGGGAGGGCGGTCATTGAGCAATTGTCATTGAAATAAAAATCATATTTCAATCCCAACTAAGACATACACCGCTCTAGCGACCTCTATACTATGTATTAAAGGGTATTGCTAAAAAAGGGTCCAGTAATGATTCAATTTATATTTTTAAAACTCATAAATGGTATTAATTTTTTTTAAGTCACCTAGGAGTCATAGTCCGATGCCTTTCAATTTCATTTTTATTCTAATTAACCTAAGTTAAAAATAACTAAATGATCATCTGAAGTGTCTAGGTCATTACATTGTCCTAAACATGAAGGTGTATATAAAAGTTGAATGATATTGTTTTGGTACTTGATCTTCTCCCTTCAATGACACTTTCGGATCTTAAACTTTATAGTATCATGACCATAGAAAAGATTGAGATTTACAATGACTCCACGACATTAGTTAATTATAAATGTGATCTAACACTTTTCTTATAGTACAAAATTTGTCACATTCGATAATTCAAAACTCATACTCTATGATTACTTTATCAAATTTTTCTTGTCATCGCTCAAGAGTTTGCTTAAAATCATATAAAGACTTTATTAACTTACAAACTTTATGTTTCTGTCCGTTACCACAAAAATTTTAGGTTGTTCGATATAGATCTCTTCATCTAAATCTTCATTTAGAAAATTGATTTTGACATTGATTTAATGTATTATTAAGTTATGAATAAATGCTAAGGTTACTTGGATGTCCGTCTTTAAATGATTTCCTAAGCCTATGTCAAGGCATTACATGCATGATCCCCTACTAGGAATTTAATTTTTGCGATGGTCTCAACTGATTGTAGAGTGCAATATCATATAACTAGAATTTGGCAATTCAAACCCCCCCGGCGGAGGTAATATTTTACATGAAAATAATGCAAGTGTACTTTACATGAGGGTCTTGATTTTGCTTAATACTAAATTATTATGTATCATGAGAAATATTTATTTATTTTTAATATAAATATACGAAATTATTACCAAGTTAAATGGGAGAAAAAAATGTAAAAAACTTACCTACTTATTAATGTCTAATATATTTCTTACCAAATTAGCCAATTAAATCAAATCAAATCCGACTTTTTCTTTTTAAAACTATCAAGTCCAATTGAATTCGTGTTTATATGACATACTAGTACTTTATGAAAAATATTTCATAAACACAATAACTTGAAAGAAAATGTTATTTGGACTTAAAATATTGACTTTAAATGTATATTTGATAATCACAACCATTGAATAAGTAATAGGTCCTAATAAATGCTAGAGTCCACAGTAAAATTAATGGTTGTGATTATCTAGTACACATTTTAAGTTTACTTTTTAAATCCATGTAACATTGCTCTTACAAGAATACGTGAAAAAATAAAAATATCAAAAAATAATATTTTGATTTATAAGCAAAGACTATGAATTTTAATTCAAATTTTTTTGTCAAAAAGTAGACAATAAGCGTGTGATTTGAATACATTGGTTCACGAATAAACTCAATTAATTAAGAAATTAAGAGTAAAAGTGTAATGGAATATTGATCTATTTTGAAGCATATTATTAATAGTAGAAATTCAATGCAATAAAGAAATTTAATGAGATTAAATAGCATTTCACTAAACTAAAGGTATATCTCCATCTAGAATGCACAACACCTAATTCAAAGTCCAGCTAACCAAATAAAGAGTATAGCCCAAGATTTCAAAGAGGTTAAAGTCAAAGTTGGTTTGCTTGTGCATATGAATTCTATTGGCAACCAAAGGAAACATAAAAACTATATATATAAAAAGGGTCGAAGACATTTTAAAATTTAATTTACTATGGCATCCTCAAATATTACATTGCACCAAAAATTTCTCAACTAATTTCACTTTACTCCATGAAATTGTTTATTATTTTTATTTCATCCTATAAATAATTAATCATATAAGTTTATGTGCATGACACATGGAAATGTCAATTGATGCAAATTTAACTCGGTCGAGTAAGTAATTGGCTTGTATTGGTACCATTTTTGATAAATTTTGGGGTGTAATATAATATTTCTAACTCTTTTAGAAAGGAAAAATTATTTACTTTTCCAAAAATAAAAAAAGAAAGGAAAAATTAAAAAAAAAATAATCAAAATATCAACATGCTGAGTTCTATTGAATTTTTTGATCTTAATGTATGTGATGTTATTAGTCAAAGTGCCTGATCTGAATATTGAAAAAAGGGGGGGGGGTGTAAATAGAAAAAAAATTAAAAAGAAATTAAGATGCAATTAATTTGCTAACCAAAGCCTGTTCTTCATGCGTTTTTGTTTTCTCAGACTATGAAACTTAACGGAAACAACAATTTGTAGCCCTCTCCCTCTCTCTCTCTGTCGATACATCTGCCCTAATTTCAGAGTAGCATCTCTCTCTCTCTCTCTCTCTAGCCGTTGTATTTTCTTTCGTTAAATCTCATTCTAAATATACATACACATTTGTGTACTCTTATATATAGAGTGTGGCAGTTATTGGGACGGTTAGGGTTTTTTGGGCTCGTCTTTATCTGATAAGTACCTCGTCTTGAGACATTCAGCAATCGCAGGAGGTAGGGTTGCTTTGCTTCTCTCTATCTAGAAATATATCTGAATTTGTATCCATCACTTTATCTCTGTAGGGTTCGTTGTTTGATAATATACATATTTCTCTGTTCGAACCCTAGCAGTTGGGAACTATTTTTTTGGTTTTTTATGAGCCCACATTTTAATGGTAGTCACTCTTGGCCTGTGTTCTTCTTTGGGGATTTTCTATTGATACAATACATGAACTGTCGGTTAGGAACAGAGGGCTTTTCTTCAGCATTCTTATTGTTATGTAGGGTTTGGAATTATTGAAGTTGGGTTTGCACCCATATGGGAGTCTGTTGAGAGTTTCCTGTTTATATGCAAATCCATAATTTACTCAGATACGGAAGAATAGAGTGTAGAAGCTGTGACTGCTCCCTTATTCTTGGCATAACAGTCCTTTGGATACACCATTTAGCCAATCAAGTTCTTGGTGAGAGCTTGGAAAATCAGAAAACATTAATTTAAAAAGGTAGTTAATTGTGCAAAATTAGAGAAAATAGAGAAGTACAAAATGAGATTGGAATAATTGGAATTTTTGATATACAGAGGTTGTGAGTTGTGCAAAATTGGAGGATATAGTGAAGCAAGATTGGTTGTATAGGGAGAAGAAAGAGGGTTACCGCTATTACTTGGAGGTTGTGTGTAGACTAATACTTGCTGTGTTAGGGTGGGGAAGAAAGGAAAGCTAAATTGGGTTTTATTCTTATACCCTGATGATGTCTGGTAATGATGGAAAAAAGTGAACCCGCTTTAGTTCCGGAATGGTTGAGATGTACAGGAAGTGTTATTGGGGGTGGCACTTCAAGCCACCATTTTGCATCATCTTCTTCGCATTCAGGTACTGATGGTTTTCTAAGGACAAGAAATAGATCTTCTAGGAATGTAAACGATAAGGATAGCCCTCGTGCTCCTTTTTTGGATCGACCTTCATTGTCCAATTCTAGGTTTAGTTCAGGTAGTACTGGTTCAACGAAGCATCCATATAGCAGTTTCACTCGAAGTCATCGTGATAAAAACCGAGACAAGGAGAAAGATAGGTCAGTTATTGAGGATCTTTGGGACCATGACAGTTCAGACCCATTGGGAAATATCTTAGGCACTAGGATTGAGAAAACTATTTTGATGCGTTCTCAGTCACTGGTGTCTAGGAAGCCTCATGAGGTGTTACCCCAAAGGGCAGTGGACTTAAAAAATGGTAGTAACAACAATCACAGTAGTGGACATGATGTGCTTGCTGGAGAGAGTGTAGCTGGTGGCATCCAGAAGGCTGCATTTGAAAAGGATTTTCCAACTCTTGGAACAGAAGAGAAGCAAGGAGTACTTGATATAGGGAGAGTTTCATCTCCTGGTTTCAGCATGGCTGTTCAGAGCTTGCCTGTTGGCAGCTCCGGGTATTCTGGTGGTGAGAGGTGGACATCAGCTTTGGCAGAGGTGCCTGCCATAATTGGCAGCAGTGGACTCACAAACTCATCTGTTCAGCAAAGTATTGCCTCTCCAATGCCCGGGGCATCAAATGCTGTGGCTGGTCCTAACATGGCTCACGCATTGTCACACAACCCATCTAGAGCTTGTACCACTCCCCAGGTAACTGAGTTGTGCCTCCTATTACATGTCTATTTTATAGTTTACACCGGTTTAATGGGAGTATTATCTAAATACTCATCATTTGTTTATATTTGCTTCGCAGATACCTGAGAAGACCCAAAGGTTTGAGGAATTGGCTATAAAGCAATCTAGGCAATTGATACCCATGACACCCTCGATCCCTAAAGCCTTGGTAAGAGGATTTTCTCGGCATTTATGACTTTTTAAGATAAAATTCCATGTGATTTTGTTTGTTAAAAATTTGTACAGGGCATAGTTATCAAAATCGTACGATTCACGATTCGATTCATACGATTTTGTTTGATACAGATACAAAATGATTCTATTTTATATGAGAATCGTTTTAGAATTGAATCGCACTTGAATCGTGTGATTTGTACGTCGTATCTCACAAATCTTACAATTCAATCACTTTTTTTTAAAACCTAAATTTTTTGGCAAAACGATGTCATTTTGTTCGTTAAACAGTAAAACGACATCGTTTTGTATGCAGAGGAACTCGCATCCTAATAAAAGTTTAACCTTTTTGTTTGTTCTTTCTTTGACGTCATCTAAAGTTTGCCTTGCGTTGTCTAAAGTTAAAGGTCACTGCTAACGCTTTCGCATCATCAGTTATTTTTACTCTCAATTCTTTCATAGGTAATTTGTCAGATTCTAATTTTTTGTTTCAAAATGTTGGATAGTATGTTTTCTTTCAATCAATTTTCTTATTTGTTCTTTTCCATTCATGTTTATAACCTAATCTGTACTGGGTGTCACTATTTTTGTTCTTGAATAATCATTGTTCTTTAATGAATTTTTTTTTCAAGCTGTTGAATTAAAAATTGTTAAGTAAAAGATGAATATGAAGTAAAACGCTAGCGTCTTTCCATTTAGACAACGTGATTATGTCAATTAATTATTTTTTAGAATGCAATAATGTTCAATATTCAACATTTTATCTATTTTAAATATATAGTGTTATTTTTTATTTTTGTTCAAATTTTGTGTCGAATTTTACGATTTACGATTTGATACGATTCACTATTCTCAAATTTAGGATTTCGATTCATGATACAAATCGCGATTTGACAACTATGGTACAGGGGTGGTTTTGTTTAAGAGTTGATGATTTGCTAATTTTATGCCAATGATCTATATTTTTCTATACTTCATCTATGGGAAATAAGCATTTATATTATATGTCTAGATTAGAAATAATAAATTCCTTGACAGTCAAATTTTAGATCAATTATGTCAACAGAGAACTTTGGGGCATTGATGTCAGCTTCATTTCATGACGTTGTCTGTTCCCATCTGAAATGAAATAGTCGTGAATCTAACAGACAGTCGCTAATGTTTCAGACAACTGGGTACATTGTTGTTCTTTTATTCTTCCAGTTACCCATTTTCATCTGCACATTTGCTATTATTCAGTGCAGTGGACAGAAGTTTGTCATCTTACAGTTATCCTCTTCTAGTTATTTTAAACATGTATGCAACATTATTTCTTACTCTTGTCTCTATGGATAAAGTATGTCTATAATCTGGTAGTCCTGTGGGCACTTTTTCTATTGCCTCTTGTCTTTCTTGATACTGCTCTGAAATCACCAGTATCTGCCTCTTGTTTGACAAACTATGTTTATGGTCCATTGAAAAGAGGATATTTGGTGTGCTCACAAACTGTATTGAGTAGTGATAAAATGAGTGAGAAATGAGAATTACAATGGTTAAGGGTTGTGTATTTCTTAGAAAATTTGTGCTACTTTTCTTATTTACAAGAATTTGTTCAGAATTTTTGATGTTCGACTTGTGATTTTGGTGTTGAAGTAAATGAATGCTACTACTTAATGTGCAATGATAGGGTTCCGTTATGTGAAACTGTTAGCTAGCATAATTTTATGAATAAAGGCTGTTATGGTACCCTCGAACTGAAATCTATTTGTGTTGACTAGTTCTATAATGTCCAAATTATGATGTGGCAGCCTTTTCTTTTCTTTACTTCTCTTCTTCCTTGTTCTGCTTACATGAGCTCACTGTGTGTTACCTTCAGAATTGTTTTCTGAGCCTTCTGCACTCTTGACAGCGATCCTAGATATTTTATCAACAAAGAATGCACACATGCTCACATGTCCCCTTGTTCTAAATTGGGACTTGAACTGAGCACCTATTTCTTAAGCAGTGGCACAATAGTAGGCAATTCCATGCCATCTGAATATTTGGGACACATTTGATCCATTAACGGCATCATGTTCAGTCTTGACATTTCCTCATCCTTCCAATAGGGAGGTATAATTGATTGTCACTAACAAACTATGCACCTGCCTGGAAGGTGTGCCAACATTTAACTGTGACTTGAAGAATTGCCAATTTGCAATTAGCGTATCACGTGTCTTTGCCTAGCTGATGTATGAAAATATCATAATCTAGCATTCCAATTCTTGTTATCACATCCACATAAAAGACCAATGGATTCATTAAATATAAAACACATATTAATAGCTGATATTTGTTTTCAGATTCTCAATTCCTTTGATAAATCAAAGCATCTCAAAGCAGCAGTTAGCACAAATGAGATGAGTGTGGCTGCGAAGAGTGTGCAGCAGCAGCCCTATTCATCACAAACTAGTCAATCTCTTCGTAGTGGACAAGTCAGATCGGATGTTCCAAAGACCTCTCATGCTGGAAAGTTTCTCGTTCTGAAGTCAGTACGGGAGAGTGGTGTCTCCCCTATGGCAAAGGAGGTATCCAGTCCAACTAATAATGCCAGTGGCGTGGCAGCAAATGGCCTGCTTGCATGGGCTACATCAGCTCCAACTGCTCCTTTTACTAGCGCAAGTACCCCAAAGATTCCTGCCCTTGAACACAAGTCAGCTGACTTGGTTCTCAATCCCAGATCCTCTGCAGAGAAGAGAGCTTCCCTATCTCAAGCACAAAGCCGAAGTGATTTTTTCAATCTCATGAGGAAGAAGACCTCGGTGAATGCTTCTGCTATCCTTCCAGATTCGAGCGCTTCTCTTTCATTTCCATCTGTGGAGAAATCTGGTAAAGTTTTTGAAGGAGTTAGTGTTCCTGTAAGTCCTCGTGTTACTGAGAATGGTTGCCTGATTCCTAGCAATGACGAATCTTATGAAGAGGCTCAGAGGTTTTCTGATGTTGGCGAGAAGAATGTGCACCTCAACGGAGCAGCAGTTTATCCAGACGAAGAAGAGGCTGCTTTCCTTCGTTCTCTTGGTTGGGAGGAAAATGCTGGAGAGGATGAAGGCCTCACTGAGGAGGAGATCAATGCTTTTTATCAAGAGGTAACCAACAATTATTGTGTGATTAAGAATCGACTAAGATTGTTGTCCCTAACCTGCACATTGTTTTTGGCTCATTAAAATTCACACCGAATGACCTACCCCAATCCTCTTTAAAAAAAAAAAGAGAGAGAAGAAAAAGAATCCGTCCTTCCCCAAGGAAAGGAAGAGTAATGAGGAAAAAGTTTGAATTGAATTCTTTGAATCAATTTGCGTTGTCATCTGAGCCAGGTTTTAACAGAAGGTTAACTGATATTTGAAATATGTCTTCTCAAATAAATATGAATTCTAATCCTATAGAAGTTTGGGGTTCATTCAAGTAACAGTAAAGGGGAAGCTATTTTTTACCCAGTACCCCCCCCCCCCTCCTCCTCCTTTCGCAGCTCTTTGAGCTATCAGGCTGATGATTGGTAATTAATGGTTAATTATGGTAGATTCAGGTAATCTAGTTAATCCTGTGGCCTCATATTGTATCCTTGACTACTTTTCCCCAGTACTACTGCAATACTATTTGATTTATGAGTTCTGCATATATTAATGCAGTTTACCCATTTCTGTTTTGCTAATTTTCCTGTACAGTACATGAACCTGAGGCCGTCCTTGAAAGTGTGCCGGGGTGCCCAGCCAAAATGTTCACTGCTGCCTGAATCTCATGCCTCCAATTGAGGCGGTGCTTCCTCTGAATTTAGATCCTCTTAATCTGAAACTGAGGCTTGACAGATGATCTCTCACATACAGGATCTGAAAGCTCATTTTTGTTTGCAGAAGGTTTGCTGCTTTTTTCTCATCTCTCTTGGTTTTTAGGAAAGCTGATGTGTCAGTCCTGAAACAGAGATTGGTTTTCTTAGAAGCCTGCCATTGCATCTTTTAGCGTATTTTGGTCCCTTTTCTTTGTCTTTTTAAGAGATCATAAAGGAAAAAAAAGGCTTATCACTTATGATGGTTTTATCCAGCTTATGAGAAAAAAAGAAATTAGAAGATTCATTTTAGTTTTTTCTCCCTTTTTAAAGCTTATGATCATGCGCATACTTTTGTCCTCTTGTCCATATTGTTTTGAGTTTACATTTTATCTTTGGATATATAGCAGCCAGGTTATACTGATATCTTAAGGCACCGACCTCACACGAATAAAAAGGAATGAGAAGAAATAGAGTTAATGCATCCCTTTGGCCCTTAATGGAATTTGATGTGCTCTACTTTGTGGTCATCAAAACTGAATTTCTGGGTCAATCTATTGTGACTAGCCACTTATTGCAACATCATATGGGGATGAGTAATTTGTTCCTGCACCTCAGACTCTTGCGAGTTTACATCAATAGCTCTGTTGACTGATCCAAAAAACCCTTTTTTGTGCTGCGGAATTTGCCATTCTTTTTTCCCCACAACGTTTTGCATTGGTGAAGAAGGTACTTAAATGAATGAATCCTCACTCCAAATACTTTTGGCCCTTGCCTAGTTGATCATCTTTTTCTTCTATGCCTGTATTTCAATTTATGTACTAAACAGGTATTCCGGTTCAGTGACTGGTTTTCTCTTGGACTTCAGTTTGCGAAAGCAGGTTATTCTGAACATATGTGACCATAAATATGGGGCACCAGTTAAACTAAATAGAGTTTTTGAACTTTGATCAACCTTAAATTTGCACGTATTCATTCGGGGAGAAGTCTGATTTTTTAGGGTGGAATAATTTTTTTGATTTTGTACTCCTGTATCTAAGTCATTAAGTATGTTATGAAATCAATGGCGATTGTTCACGCTCTTCATTTCTGTCAGAAATAGTGAATGAACTCATATTAATTAGGCTCAAAAATGGCTAATGAGCAGAGCACAACAGATTGGAGCGTGAAAAATAATTACTGCTGTTAACATAGGTAGAAATCTATTGGTCCACGAAAATTCTTGTGTTTATTATTGTTGATTGTCCTCAACGATCGAAAATATGCCTATATTTAAGTTTATGATTTACTAATACATGAATAAAGTGAAAATAAAATCAAGAAAATTATTTAATGTAATCACATTAGATAACATGAGTTTGCAATTCTTTACAAATTTAAAAGACACGTGACTTAGAGTGGAACTGATAATACATACGCAACACGATTTGCAACCTAACACTAATTAAGTGGGTATGAGTTTATTATCAGCAGATTTAGAGAGTAAACGAGTTAGATTTGTCAAACCTGTTTAATGAATGAATAATGTGAATGCAGTAATTGCAATACACCTATGCAATATGAAGCTGACATTATAAGACTATAGACAACTTAAAAATGTAACACGATACAACCCATTAAGAAGCCTAGTTGAGACAGGATTCGATTACAAGAAAAACACATGAATTTATAGAAGAATTACGCTGTTGATTTCCTGTAAGAAGATAAATTCATGGTTGTAAATGTAATTATACTTACTAATCTACAACCCCCCCCCCCCCCCCCCCCCCCCCTTTTTCCTTTCCCCTCCCCAACACCCCAAAAAAAAAACCCCGCACGCTCCAAAACATTAAGGAAAAAAATATCACGGGATTCTTCATTACTGTGCAGATTTAATGATCAAAAGCCTGACAAAAGTCCGGCATAAAGGGCAGGTTTTGTTAAGCCTCAACCAGTTTTCGATACAGTGGACATGGAAGTTGTGGTTGCAGGAGGGAAGAACACAGCAGAACTCGCCGTCTTTGAATTCCATAAGGCAGATGCTACATTCACTGCTTCTTCTTCCTTCACCTCCTCCTTCCTGGCTTTCTTCGATGCCACCATAACTACCACTCCACACCTCCACCCTTAACGCCTGCTTTATTGCTGCTTCAGTCGAAACCTCTGAAACCTCAGCTTCATGTCCGTTGTTACGGCAGAGATATCGATAAAGCACTACAAAAACCCAGAAGAAAACATATCCCAAGAAACACAGTGCACTCATCTGTACTATATGATCTTGGCCAAGGTTTGAACATGCAGAGAGAGAGAGAGAGAGAGAGAGAGAGAAGAATAATCGTAGACGTGATAATAACTTTTATGAATTCGATTAGGATTGAGATTTAGAAAGAAAATCCAACCTCAAAAAGGATTATTTTATTTCCAAAATCTGTCCTAATAGTAACGGATGGGATTATTCCATCCCTAATTTTTTTTTTTTTTGATTTTTTTTTGGAGTGGGGGGGGGAGAGGGGGACACAGAGAGAGATAGAGAGGGGTGGGAGGAGTCAAACCATTGATCTCAAGAAGACAAAATTTTAACAAAGTAAGAAGTACCATTGAACCAAAAATTCGTTGATTATTACATCCCTAATTAATTGTTGTTCTTACCCGTCCAATACTTTTTTATCTTTTACACACTCTGTTAGGAAATGACAAAATTTTACACTTAAATTGAGAATATAAGATAAATTAGACACCGAATTAGTGGGTTTAAGTTTACTATTAATGGATTTTTTTTTTTGCAATGGGAGTAGGAGGGGGAGGGAACTTGAACCCTTGACTTAAATGAGGCAAAACTTTCATAAGGTAAAGAGTATCATTAGACCAAAGACTCGTTAATTATTATTAATGAATTCACATGAATAGAACCACCAAACCAATTTAATAAACTAATCTACATAACCTAACTATACATAATGTGTTGCCAACACAAAACTCGATTGTACATAACGACAATATTGATCTAAACTCAAAAGTTTGAGTAAAAAGTTTGATATGATACAAAACACTCTAATGGACAAATTCAAATTTAAAGTAAAGTGAAATATGGTCATTGGATCTTTTAAAAGATTGAAAATTTTGAGTAAAAATAGACTAAAAGCAAGCTACAGTCTTTGACTCAAACTTATACCAAATGAAGGAAGACTCAACCTTTTACTCATATCAAGGCAAACTCAAAGTTTTATTCAATTCTTCAATGGTCAAATTTCATTCTTTTAAAAGATCTAATTTTCATATTTCACTTTACTTTAAATTTGAGTTTGTCCATTTGAATATGTTGTATCAAATCAAATTTTTTATTCAAATTTGAGTCAACACCCCTAACTTAAGTATATATGAGTAATCAAATTTTAACACAATATTACTCAGACACGACACGACACGAATCTAACCTGAACCAATGGTTGTACTTGAGATGAATGTGAGTGAAAAGGGATACTCAAACTAAGAGTAGATCCCCGTATATATAATCAAATAATAATAATACAAAGTGATCCTTGTAGTCTAGGAAAAATATAAAAGTCATAGTAAATGTAAAAAGGAAAAAGAAATCCTAATAAACTAGACTATACTCCAACACTCCCCCTCAAGCTAGACGCAAAAATATCAATTAAGCCAAGTTTGACAACCGAATCCCGGAGAATGGATAGAGTGACAAGTTTGGTAAAAACATCCGCAACCTAATCACTGGTCCCCACAAATAATAGAGTCACAATACCACAACGAACCTTCTCCCGAAGAAAGTGAACATCAATCTCTATATGCTTCGTTCTCTCGTGTAATACAAAGTCAAAAGTGAGTTGAATAGCAGATCGATTATCACAATATAATGTAGATGAAGAAGTCATTGAAAATCCCAACTCGCCAAAAATCGATTGTAGCCAGATAATCTCATATGTGTCAAGCGCCAGTGCCCGACACTTTGCCTCTGCTGACGAACGAGAGAGAACTGTCTGCTTCTTTCTCTTTCAAGAGATAAGATGAGTCCCTTGAAAAGCATAGAAGCCCGTAGTGGATCGACCATCACATGCTCCCCCATAATCTGAATCTGAATAACAGGCTAGAGTACCAATCTAAGATCCTGATGTATAGAACAACCCAAGTCTTAGACAAGACTTGAGGTACCGAAGAATATGATAAACTGCATCAAGATGAGTCTGACACGGCCTGTGCATGAACTGACTAACTCGGCTGACAGCAAATGAAATGTCTGGTCAAGTGTTGGCTAGATAAATTAGTCTACCTACCAACCTCTGATAGACAGTCGAATCTCTCAATTCCTCACCGTCAGTAGTAAGCTTCAGGTTTGGAATCATGGGTGATGATGCCGATTTACACCCCAGCATCCCAGTGTTTGAAAGAAGATCCAGGACATACTTTCTCTGAAAAAAAGTAATACCCCTACTGCTACGGGCAACTTCAATCCCAAAAAAGTATCGCAAAAATCCAAGATCCTTCACATCGAAGGCCTTCCCAAGGTCTACCTTGACCTATGCAGTTCCAGAAACATCATCTCTAGTAATAATAATATCATCAACATATATCAAAAGGATGACACACTGTCTAGAAGTATTCCGTCAAATGAAGTAGGTTTAATCAGAATGACATCTAGTGAACCCTAAACGTATAACTACACGACTAAATCTAGAGAACCAGGCTCGTGGTGACTGTTTCAGTCCATATAAAAACTTACGCAGTCGACATACCTTTCCAGCATACTCCCCCTCACCAAGAAAATTCGGTGGTGCATCCATATAAATAATTTTGTCCAGATCACCGTGAAGATATGCATTCTTCACATCCAACTGATGAAGAGACTAATAATACTCCACAGCCAGAGAAATAATCAATCAAACAGTAGTCAATTTTACCACAGGGGCAAAGGTATCACCAAAATCACAACCTGGTACTTGAGTAAAACCTTTCGTCACAAGCCTAGCCTTTTGACGATTAATAGTACCATCTGCAAAAAATTTCAGGGTGTAAACCCAATAACAGCCAATAGGCTTCACCCTGAAGGTAAAGAGACAAGCTCCCACGAATGATTACGCTGAAGAGCGTCCATCTCCGTCTGCATGGCATTAACCCACTGGGGCTCCCGCATAGCCTCTGAAATATAACAAGGAACTGGCGTATCTAATAAGGTCATACTATAAGCTCGAAATGTAGTAGATAGATCATCATAAGAAACATAAGCAAAGATCAGATATAAAGTCTTAGCAATTCAACCATAATGGACAATTGGACGGTGATCACGCCGCAGATAACAACGCCATAAATCATCCTCCACTAACAATGTCTCATCAGGTAAAGTAACTGGCTCAGTACCTGCAATCTCATCAGTGCTAACAACAGGTATATCAATATGCTTAACAAACTGAGAAGTATTACCTGCATCGCCTGAGGTAGAGGGGACATCAATAGGGAGATGAGAGCGAGGGCGACGAACATAAACCTGCAAAGGAAGAGAGATTGGTGACTCTGTACTGACAGGGAGGAGTGGCTCTGGAGGAGAAGAGACTAATGACTCTGTAGTGATAGTGACCAATGGTTCTGGCTCATATGGTAACGAAAAATCAAATGGAATATCATCAACTGGAGGGGTAAACACAGGATTGGAAGAAAAATAAGGAATATGCTCAAGGATGGTAACATCTAGACTGTGATATATACGATGCCTAATAGGATCATAACATCGATACCCCTTAGACTGATGACAATAGCCCACAAATATACAACGAATCGCTTTATCATCAAGCTTATGGCGAGTAGGGGACCGATCCTGAACAAAACATGTGCATCCAAAAACACAAGGATGGACCAGAAAAAGTGTCCGCTCAATGAATAAGACCTGTAAGAGAGCCCTATGCTGAAGAACATGACTCGGTGTACGATTATCCAAAAAGGTAGAAGTCAAAACAGCAAAATGCCAATAAAATTTTGGTACGCCCATACCTCTAAGCATACAACGTACCATCCCTATTAGACTCCTATTTTTCTTTTCAACAACTCCATTTTGCTAAAGAGTATATGGACAAGTGAGCTGCTGAAGGATACACTGAGAAGAAAGGTAAGACACTAAGACATCAGACACATATTTTTTGGCATTATCCGAACGAAGAGCACGAACAATGACATCGAATTGTGTCTTAATCATCTGGAAAAATTGAGTGATGACAGGGAGTACATCCAACTTCCTATGCAAAAGGTAGACCCAAGTACAACGGATATGATCATCTATAAATGTCATATAATATCGAGCATCTGACAGAGCAATAACAAGAGAGGGTCCTCAAGTATCAGAGTATATTAGGTCAAATGGTTTGAGTGACTGGCGCATGCGAGGAATATAACTAGTCAGAACATATTTTGATAGAGAACATATAACACAGTCAAGTTTACCACTAACACAAGTTTTGCTCAAAATAGGAAATAATATACATAAATATTTAAAATTTGTATGCCCAAAACGGTCATGCCACAACTGAACAGTTTGTGATGAAAAATCATAACGACAAGTTTTATGTAAAATACTAGCATGTAAGCTAGGAACAAATACAGACAAAGCAGGTGATGAAAGTGGAGGTGAAAAAACTGGTGAAACCGGAGGTGGATCGCCTAGATAATATAGTTCATCTCTCTCATATCCCCTGATAATAATCCTCCTGGTACTCAAGTCCTACAAATAACACGAATCAGATAAGAACATAACTGCACAGTGAAAATCTCTGGCTAACTGATGTACAGATAATAGATTTATTGTCAGCTTTGGCGCATGAAACACCGAACGTAATGTAAAGTCATCTAGAAGGCGAACTGTACCCCTACTAACACTAAGGACACGTGTACCATCTACTAACTGAACTTGAGTATGTAACTGCTCGTCAAAAGAGGTGAAATGATGGGTCTCACCTATCATATGACCATTCGCACCTGAGTCCAGCATCCAAAGGGGAAACGGACTAGCGCAAGTATTAAAGGCACGAGGTATACCTGTAGTAGTCGCAGAAGTAGTAGTCGAACCTTGAGAAGTCAGAGCTGACATAAGTATATCTAAGCGAGAAGTGATAACATCCAAATCACTCTGCCAAGGAGGAGCAGTAATAGTAATAACAAGAGCAATGACTGTAGGTGGTGGTGCCTCAGCAATGGCAGTAGTACGGCTGCGAGGAGGCGGCTTAAGCTCTGGATAGAGCTTCCAACAAGCAACCATGAGATGTCCTAGTCGGCTACAATAATCACACTAATGAGAATCCCCATGTCTACGCTGATGTGGGGTACCTTGACGGCGCTGGGCCGAGCGTTGTTGACCCCTATATCCAGTAGAAGTACTAACAGATGTCTCAACGGTAGGGGTTTCAACTTCCTTAGTAGTAGGCATATCAACAACAATACTAGGGCACCCGTGATAGAAAAACAACTCTAAGATAAATAGAGCAATAAAATAAGGGAGAACAATATACCTTCAGTCGAATAGTAGCGACAAATAAAGAAGGTCCAAAAAGCTCCCAAATAATCAGGTCACGATATCCAAAAATTCAAAATATATAAATAAGTGATCTACTGCATCAATGACAGATCAACAGAAAAGAGGATTCAACCCCTCTTAAAAGATCCTAGAAGCTGCAACTCCAAGAAAAAAGGTCATGACGCAAAGAGATGGTGGCATTATGATGAAGAGCGCGACGTATGAAAGCACAAGAAGACGGGACAACTGTTATGGTCTAAACAAAATTGAGCAGTGGATTTGTTGTCTGGGCTTTATGGTCTGGGTTTGGATTTGCGGGTAGTGGACTAGTTTGTCGGTGTAGTGGGCTGGTCCGTTTTATTATTATTATTATGTTGTATTACAAAGGATGGGCAGTCGGTGGGGTTTGGCTGCTAAGTGGATGGGCTGAAAAAGAATGAGCAGTTGGTGGATGATGTCTAGTTCGCTGGTGGAGTGGTGGGCTAGTATGGCAGTATGTTTTGTCGTTGGGTGTTTGTGTTGTGTTGTTTGTTGGTGGGCTGAGTTGTTTGTCGGGGTTGAGTGTTGTTTGTCGGTAAGATTACTAGGTATTGGGATGCTGCTGGGGGCTGATGGAGTTGCTGATTGGCTGTGTGAAGACTGCTGCTGGTAGGCAGTCGGTGGAGTGGAGGCTGCTGCTGGTTGCGATGTTTGGTGGAGGCTAGGGTTAGGGTTAGGGTTAGTAGCTTTGATACTAATTTGAGATGAATGTAAGTGAAAAAGGATACTCAAAGTAAGAGTAGAGCCTCGTATATATAGTCAAATAATAATAATATAAAGTGACCTAAACATCCTTGTAGTTTAGACAAAATATAAAAGTCATAGTAAGGGTAAAAAAGAAAAAGAAATTCTAATAAACTAGACTATACTCCAACAGTTGTCAAGCATATATTATTTCCATTTTCATATTTTCCCACCATAGTTTCTTTCCCCCACCCTCATCTCACACACCCCACGCAAAACTAGCCGAGTGGGTTTGTTTCGGAAAACTCTACCTGATTTCATAACAATTCCGATGAACAGACGTGGAAAACACTGCCAATTGATCACTCTTTTTTGGAATGCTGCAAACTACATTTGTATTTAGTAAATATTGTTCTTCTGTAACCCGTCCCACTGGAATTATGGAAATTGAAAAAGAGTCTTTCCCATTTGGTGTAAATTTCAGTTAACCCCCCCCCCCCCCTAAAAAAAAAAAAAAAAGAAGAATAAGCTGTGATCCTTGCAATTTCATTTGCACTGCAATTGTGAATTTTTGATGAATTGATTTGAAATTTTTTTTACATGTAGTTTGACGAGTTAGAATTTATTTCATGTTCTTGTCAAAAAAAAAAATTATTTTCATGTTTGTACTAAGTAGATAATACTAACACAGTATCAAATAGAAGTAGTTTTGACCCAATTAAATTAAACTTCCTCTTACACCCCTGGGTAGCCCGTTTAAGATAAAATCCTGAATCCGTTCAAAGATATGCTCAGTGGCGAAAAATTTTGGCAATGATGAAGTGTTTATGTTGATGGGACGGAGTTGCTCGGCCAAAACCCAGAAGTAAGCCTGTAGGTCTCTTTACTACGCCAAAGCAGGAAACATTTCATCGAAACCTTGAAGTAAGAAAATATACATATCAATGAAGTAAGAAAGGGTAGGGCAACTAGGGTGTCCCTTCCAAGTCTCGGACAATTTGGATAATATGTTGTTTAGTCAAAGGTGACAGGGAAAAACTGGCGTAGAACACACAAAACACCGGGTTGGGAGCCTCAAACCCCCAATCCCACCGCTACCCAAAAACAAAACAACCCTTACATAAGGCATACCAGCAGATTTTCTTCTACTTCTTAACAAGAAAGAAATGGCGTAGGTACAATGTAAAAGTACAAGTTGACCTTGTAAAATCCTTAAATTTGAAAGAAAATATGAGATCAATCATCCGAATTTTTAAAAAAGTATCATTCACTTATATTTCCCGTTGATGTTAAGATGTTTGCACAATGCAGCAGAACATTTACACAATATGGAACTCTTGTTTATACCCCACTAACAGAAGTAAAATGGCAACACGCACAGAAAACTCCCCAAGTGATTTTTGGCCTCCAACTGTATACATTTTGATTCACACCACCTTACTCTGAATGAGAAGTCCAATATATCAGCCCACTGCACAGAAGTATGCTTGAGTTAAAGAAGAGACAACGATGAGAATCCGATGTTGAGTTGTTAATCAATATGATTTGAGTGCACATCAAACAAAAGGAAACGTGGGTGATGTGCTTGAAAACTGTGTGTGTGTGTGTGTGAAAGAGAGACACAGACAAAGAGAGAATTTAAAAAAAGATTTGAGGATTGAAAAGTCATAAAAAGTCACAGCTCATAAACTGCACGTTCTTTATTGCATACAATAAGTTACTGTGTCCAGACACAGCTTGGGCTATTGCCTGCAGTTCATTTGCACTATGGCAGAAAATCCTCCCCAAGCTTGACATCCAGCCCAGTTGTTATGGAGGTTTTCGTCAAAACAGGTATGCAACTTCTGATTAGACAGCTGAAGCTGAGGCAGGGGTAGGATTTTTATGTTTCTTGTTCTAGCCACCAACACAGGAACGTGGGCTAGTGGGAGGCTATTCTAATGCAGGAACAAAATGTTTGCTTGACTAGGACATGAACCGAATGTGCATTTTTACTTGGCAAGGAAATGAACTGAAGGTATGCTTCTTGTTAATCAAAACAAGTTTGAAAACAATTTAAAATATCACTCTGACATGAGTATGCAAGACTTTTAAGGAGTATTAAACACGACAATCCTCACCCCAGAAAGAATGTTACCTGATCAATATAAACACACACTGCAAGATGCCAGCAACTCCAGTCCATGCTGAAGGGCCGGTTGTGACAAGTGCATCTTGTATCAATAGACCCACTGAAGCCGCCAAAGAGACAAACGATACAACATAAGCAACAAAAAGCCAAAGCTTCAATCTGCAATAGCAGAAGTTGAAACAGTATAAGACTAATCATGTTGCTCCAAGCAGGCAAAGGTGATGATTCAAGCAAAGAGGACAGCAATCACCAATCCAAAAAAAAAAGAAAAGACAACATATACAAGGCATAAAATCAAAACCTATTTGTCCTGGTTGCCTTCAATCTACATCTACAAAAGGTTTACTAAGAACAAGCCTCAACACACATTTCTTCTAGATTTCTCTTGCGCCAGAGAAACGAAAAGTGCTACAATGTTCCAATGCTATTTTTCCAGCAACAAATAATAATTATTATGACGCTAATCAAGTGACATATATAGAAAAGGACACATGAGAAGGAAAGAAAGAGAAGGGGGGTCCACTAAAAAAAGTGAAAAAACACAATAGAGTTATCTGTTATGCAGACTCATCAGTCCTAAATCTGTGACTGCTATCACACCCTTAGTTAGAACTTAGAAGGGAAACCTCCTCACTGGAGGGCAAAGGTAATCCATAAATTGTACATTCCCAAAAGCGTGATTGTGAGAACAAAATTGTCATTTCTTTTATAAAGTGAGCTTCTTTCCTTGGAGCAAACATGAATATCCAACTGATGAATGTCCTTTAAAACAAGTTCATGCGCTAGACAATGATCGAGCCAAAAAAAAAAAAACAATTTAAATCCTGGGTTGTCCCCCAGCATGGCCTCCCAAAAATCTATAAACTGAGATAATTAGACAAATGAGACATTCAATGAATCAATAAAAACATTTGAGATGGTTCAGCACACCAAAGCACAAGGTCAAAAATCTTAGTGACTTCTTCCCAAACTAATTACCAAAGTGAAAATGATTAGAGAAACAACTGTATCCCAACAGATATCCATTTTAGCTTCAAAGAATTTGCAGTTGAGTTGTGATTGATGGGCATATTATAATAGCTCAAGAAAAAGAGAACATCGAAAAAACTAGCCCACAAAGAAGTTCCGTGTTTCACCAAGTCTACAGTTGCATCTAACACAACCCTTAATAGGATAGACTTCGGGAGGGCCTTTTACTAGGAAGGCCAGTAAATTAGGTTCAAGCCTCAACTCAGTTGCACAAATGTATAAATCTATAAACTGTTCAATGACCCAACTTTGATTGTCCAGCAGTGGCCCAACTATGTTGACAGCCATGCATGACCGTGCATCAACTTTTGACCATGTTCTCCTTGTCAAAATGTGCAGCAGTTAGCTGGGAACCCAGATGACCATCCATACATTTCTGGTTCTTGAATGATCCTGCAACAAATTACCTGAGCAAAGTGTCTTACTTGCACAGCTAAGGATGTATTTTGTCCCAACGAAAAAGGTAAAGATCAGGGTTTCATCAGGTCCCATTTCAGTATCCTAAATTTCATCTAGATGATGCAGCTTAGCACCTTGATTGTATGCCTCCCATGACATTCTATTCTTGCAGTGGATACAAGCATTCTTGTATCCCAACCAAGAAGGCAAGAAACGGAGTTCATCACTGTAATGTGTTTGTGCTCATTGTAAAGGATGTAAGGTCAAATTCCAACCCTTAAACCTCACTCCCTTTCTTATGTTTGACAAGTGAATTCTCCCCCAATGACTGGTGCGCTCCAGAAGATCTACTGGCATGTGCCTATAATTTGTGCAAAATAAGAGATCTGAATGTGCTATGGAACTTGAATCTCGATTCTTGACTGCCAGGCGAATTTCTGAATTTGAATCATATCTTAATTTTTTTTTCACACTACTCATGTGAAGTGGTGCACATGCATGGACAAAGGGGCAATAATGTTTATCAAAGATAGTAAGGGAGCAGGAGAACGTGTGAGTGGGTTGGGTCGGCAAGGGGTCTGGGTGTTATGTGGGATTCACATCACAAATAAAAAACTTTCATTACAGTTACATTTACCACTAAAGTTGATAGAAAACATTATTCATCTTGTTGCAGAAAGTCCGTAAGTTTCAGAACCCGCAACTTTGAGATTGGGGTCGAGCAGAGAAGAAGACTTTTCAACTTAATGAAGTGTGAGAAAATGAAATTTACTGCAGCCTTTTTTTGGGCAGAGAGGGGGGGGGGAGGAGGGCAGAGAGGGGAGGATCAATCCTTCATTACAAAATACAGGCCTCTTTCAAAAATTCGGAAAACTAAAAAATGCCAAGAACATAATCAATATGCATAGCATTAGCAGTTTATATTCAAGACACAAAATTTAATTTTTTAAGAGTACATAAAAGAATGAGGAAAAACTGAGCAGTCCAACATTGAATTTACATGAACTAAGTTTCCATCAATGATGCCACTTAAGAATCAGAAAGAATGGTCGTAGGTGTTGAAGTGGGGGCAGACTTATCGCCCATATAGCGCATAAGATCTGTGATACATCACAGAGAATAAAACCGTGATCCGCAAAACATCGACAGAAGTAATAGACCAGAAATGGGCCTGACAGGTCAGAAGTACTTTGACCAAGAAAGGATTAACTCCTGAGCACTGAACAGAAAGCATGACAAGGCCAGAAGGCCTGATCAATCAGTATGCATTGGGAGAGACCTTGGTGCAAACCAAACAGATATGAGCCGAACAGCCCAAACCCACGACATGGCGCAATAGGCCGAACAACCAGGTCAATGAAACTGGACAATCTCCACTCACCTTAGGTAGTTTAAAATAGTAAAAAAAGGGGTAAACAGGGCTTCACTCGGACTCTCCCTAGGAGATATTTGGCTTAGGTGGTCAGCAAATACGATAAATACTATGATTGGTTTAGCTCAATAACTAGGCGCCTAACAACAAACAAAATAACTTGGATCAGTAAGATCACAATTGGGATTGGAATTTATGATCTTGTGATTAAAATCATGATTTTGATAACCAAGCTTCTAAGTCCTACCCGAGTAGAGATCCACTCCCTATAAATACAGGGTAGTACTTAAGGACACATGTACACACTCTCTCTCTTGTAGATTGTTTAATCACTCCCAAGCATCTTAGTGACTTAAGTGTCCGAGTACTTTCAACTGGTTTCAACCTAGTCTCTGGCAATTTGTTCGTTTTGCAGGAACGAGAGGTTTGAATAACAAATCCCGAACACCAAGATTCAATCATTACTCTTTATCCTGACAGATGCAAAATTTATCCCTAACAAGTGTGATCGACTGCATTGCATAAGTGCTACGGAACAATTCTTGGAGAATAGATCAAAAAAGGGTAAATGTGGATGGCTTACACTACATGACATAAGTGGGACTAAGTGTCATGTTCTCTAATCTAAAATGGCTGGGGAAAAAACAATAACCACAATCCCTAACTCATAATTTTGAGTAAGAAACCCTAAGTTATATATATATAATATAAAGTGACATTTTCAAAGTGGAAATAAAATTCAGACCTCCACTCGCCGTCCTCATATGGAGAGTAGTCAATGTCCTCCCTTCTAACGCAGTTGAACATCAAAGCAGCCAAAGATGCAAAGATACCTGAATATATACGACAATTACGAAATTCAGACTAAAACCCTAGTATAAAATTCATACCCTAGATATATGCATAAGTAGATATACAATATATATATATAGAGAGAGAGAGGGGGGGGGCAGACCGGGGAGGTAATGGAGGAAGGAGACACTGACAGAGCTGCAAACAACGGCGTCAACCCAAAACCACCAACCGGCGCCGAAGACTGCGCCTGCGACTCCTGGTCCGAAAATGGCCCACAATTCCCCCAAATCCATGATCAGATTCCTAAAGTGGGTCTGCTTATATAAAATTCGTAGACGAAGGGGTATAGACTTCACTATAAAACAAAGTCCAGCCTCTGTGCTGGGGTGTCGATTCTTTTCTTTTGGCGGTGTTGGTGTTGAATCACTTGCTTGTGACCTTTTTCATACTCTCTCTCTCTCTCTCTCTCTCTCTCTCTTATTTGACTCTTGAGTTTAAAGTTTAAAACCTCTCCCCCCCCCCCACCAATATATTTTTATCAAATTATTTATTATATTATACTAACATATACAAATAATTTCAATTTTTTCGTAGTTTAAACGGTAATAAAGGCGAGTTATAAATTCAAACGTTTTAATTTGAATTTTAGCAATCTTTGAAATCAGACCATAAGAGATTTATCCTCGTAAATGTCTTGTCTTTGACTAAATTAAATAGAGAATTAGTCGAAATACGCTTAAATTGATTGGACACCCTTAACTCGAGATTACCTCAATAAATAATGAGTATTCTAACTGGACTCATAAATATTTAAATCAATCTTAAAAAACCATACGAGGCTATGAGCATATCACAAATCAATTTCGAGTAACATGGCTAAAAACAACACTTAACTAAGTGTGCTACAACAATTGTGGCTTCAAATACCATTGTCTAGCAAGTAGAACATATATGATAATACACCAACTCATAAGTCTGTTAAAGAAGTCTCGAAAAGAATAGTGTTACATGACTAAAAAATGAGACCAAAAAATACAAGATTTGTTATTTTGAATGTATTAAAAGTGTTATAATATAATCTCTCTATTAACTTCCGTTATTTGTTCATTAAAAAATGACTTCAATTAACGTTGATGACGGAATAAGTAACGAAAACCACCATTAATGCATTATCGAGTCAAGTGTAATGCGTTACTCCGTCTAACTTTAAAGTAATGTCACATCATTTATTTTATTCAAAAAAAATAGAATGATAAAAAATTAGAAAGATAAATAAATAAATCATATTTTATAAGGAATGAAAATAAAAATGATGAAAAAGTTGATGAATTAGATTTCTTTCTAACTCACCAAAAATCAATTTCTCCAAACTTGAAAGAAAAAGTTGATGAAAAATTAATTATGTACATTGAAATATATGTTATTTACTTGTATGTCCTTATATATATATATATATATATATTTTTTCCATCCTTCCACTTTTTTATCCTACCAAACACAAAAAAATAAATATATTATTCCTACTTTTCTTCACTTCTACCAAATATAAAGGAGGAAAAAAAATGATTCCTCCCTTAAAGACTGTCACTTTCCATCATACCATTTTTTCATCCGCCCAACTAAACACACTATTAGTTTTTATTTTTTGTCTCCTTTTTTGATTAGTCTAACATTACTCATTTCTCAAATTTCTATCAATGATAATACAATAGAAGATGTTGCATTGATTGATTTTGTCAATTGAATGAAAATCGCTTCTTGCTTTTTTTTTTTTCTTTGCCTCTCTGGCTTGACTACTCTGTTTGCTTAACACAAGTTTTATTTAACCTTCACGGACCACTTCACTACCCAACAAGCTGGCTCAAAAACAAGAAGCAACAGATTGAGTTGCATGAAAGCCCTTGCTCATTAGCGCATTCGTTTATCGCAGGGACTTTAGGCTTGACTAATATAATAAGATAGAAATGACTTTCTTCAATCAGCAAGGGATTGATATTGTATAAGGCTTTCTTCAATCGACAAGGGATAGATCGGAAGTCTAATAAGACTTTAAGAGATAGGGATTCCAACAGTAAGAAATAGTCACTCAGTGAATCGATGGATTTCACATTGCAGGCAAGGACTGGTGCATGCTTGACTCTGTAGCAAGTATATAAGTGTAGAAAAAGTGAAAGTCTGGGGACAAATGTAAATGTGAAGAATGGGACCTCCAAAACGCCTTACTAAAGTGTGAGAAATTAGGGGGACATACCGAACACTTACCTTTCCAACTAAGTCTAAGACAATGACTTTTAATTGACGATGCGTTATGTTGTTAGCAAGCGATGGCTGACAAGGTCATTTTCCCTAAATATCTTAGAAAGCAAAGAGGATAGGTTCGAAACTCGTTTGGAAAGATTCTCTATAAACTAGGCATTTATCCAAAGCACGGATATTTTGAGTCTTTCAATTACACATGTTTTATTCTTATGAGCGGTCTATATGAATATGAGTCAGGAACAAAGATTTCAGAAAATGAAATTCGATATTTGCAAGTGCAAATCAACATTCTTGATATGAAAGTAAAAATGGAGTGAAAGTCGACCCTAACCAAGATTCAAAGACTTTCAAGTTCAATTCTAATCTAGATATAAAAGTGAAATTTTATCATCAAAAGTGATAGCTCTTTTAATCTAGTCTTCTTTTCTCTTTTGAGTCAGGTCTGCCCTTCCTCCCGACCATTTTCGAACTTGTCTGTCTCACCTCATTCACTTCAAAGAATGATTTCTTCATTGTTGAGATTTTCAGTCTTTTTAGCTTATAAAAAAAAACACTCAATGACGAATAAAGTAAATTTCGTAACTCCAACTTATCCATGGATCAAGGCAAAACCATATCAAGGGCGGGCTATTTTTGGTCCTATTGAGCTTTTCTTAGATTCTTATGTTGGTATTCTAAATTCAAATGGACAATACTACGAAGTACAAACAACTAACTAACCCTACACCACGCAAGGGCGGAAACTTCGGGCACTGTCCTTTTTTTCTTTTTCTTTTTTTGTAGTAGTAGTACAAGTGTGCTAGAAATCGAGAGATTAGAGACTAGAGTCCTAAATAGCAAAAGGTTACTCTGCAGTTCGGATCGACTTTCAATCAATCTCAATCCCACTTAACCCAATCCAAATATTTAACTCATTTGAGATTAAAAAAAATATATCTAACTCATTTTATTTGCACAACTTCTATAAAAAAAAAAAATACAATCCAAGTATCTACCTGGACCAAACTACTCAATTAGAATTTAATTTTAACAAGAAAAAATACAACAAAATTTCACCAAATGATTAATCAATCTAATCATAATTAAGCATCTATGCATACTGTTTGATATGATCACAATGGTAACGATATATACCCAAGTCCTTAAAAATTAAATAACAGCTTTGATTTAGTCCGTAAAAAAATAATAACCCATCACATCCGACTAATTGACATCAAATTCCGATCAAAATCAGATTCACCGCCACATCTACCGGTAACCTACCATTTTGTTATAAACACAAACTATTGGATCTTCTTTTTTTTTTTTCCTCATTTTCTCGACAATAATACAAAATTACTAGCTCTTACCGAGACTAGTAGACTGATATTTATATATTTCCTGCTGTGCTCACTTCATCATATTACTAGCTCATAAGCTGCTAAGCTCACAGACAACCCTCAAAACTCTAAGTACCAAAGCCTCCAGAACCTACTTACCAGACACAAATACAACTCAAATCATCAAAAACAGAAAATGGTTCACAACCTGGATCTCCACAAGCTAACACCTAAGTGGTTAACAAGAGAAAATTTCCCTTTCCTTTGCTAGAAAGATAACTCAGGAAGGTGATGTGAAACTCCCTCAGTGCTGTGAAACTCCCGCGAGTTCCAACTGAAACAAAAAAATTACAAGTATTAATGTCAGCCAAAGTAACAGGCTGTACTCCCACGGGTGATTATCTAACAATAACCTCAATCAAAAACATTCACACAAATATTTTGTCGAAATCCTGACACAGTAATACTTCCATTCAGCACCAACATTACATAAATCTCACAATCATCATGATATATAGGCAGTTACTGTTTCAACCCGTAAAGGGACCCACGCGTATGCACATGCTTGCGTACACACGAAAACATCAAACAGATAAGCATCCCCATGAACAATTCTTGTACCTGTCAAACAAAAAAATTAACTTCAATCAACTGACCAAACCACCCAAAAGAAAAACAAACCAGAAAAACACTCAAGACAGCAATCCAACAATATGTCATTTCAAAACATCTTCAAATATTATGAAACACTAAAAACCATAGTTTCGATATTCAATCACTCTTTTGATTTGGATTCCTTTAAAATCGAAACATTTTGGCAAAAACAAAACAAAATTTTGATCCTGGCCAAGAACCCCATGACCATCAAACATACATATAAGAAGAGTTATGCTTTGTTTGGAATGATGACAAAATAGAAGGATAGAAAATTAGATTGATAAAAAGTTGGAAAGATAAAACATCATATTTGACAAGAAAGAACACTAAGAAATATGAAAAAAAGAGAATAAATTAGCCTTTCTTCAACTTACCAAAATCTATCCCTCTAAAATTGATTGGAAAAATGGATTAAAAGTTCAACATGTGTTGAAATATATATTATTTACCTTTATATCCTTTAATATATGCATATATCTTATTTATCTATTACATAATATATGCACATTAATTTCATATATAGATAAGATACAATGGTAAAATATGCACCAATACCTTTTCCATTTTTCCATCCTATACCAAACACAAAGAAAAATAAAAAATCAATTCTTTATATTTTTCATCCCTTCTACCAAATACAAAGGAGAAAAGGAAAGATTCCTCCCTCAAAGAGTAAAAAGTATACCACTCCCACTTTTCATCCATCTATTTTTCCATCCGCCCTACCAAACACACCCATATTTCTCAAAAGAGAGATCTAAAAGCAGCATTCTATAATTTGTACTTACAAGAAAATAACCACAGCAAAAGTCTAAAAATGAGAGATCACACCTTCAATAACTTTCATCAGGAGCCGCTAGGTCTAATGAAACGAGCAATGCAGAAAATCTGTCTGGAACCCATCAATATGCATTGTTACACCACAAGCCCTCCATCAATTCCAACTGCAGTCTCCCCAACACTGAAGTAGATGAAGGAGGAGGCACAAACAACCAAAATGACAGACAGAGAGTAAAAAAAATGACCTACAAGTCCTTAATGTTCACTTCAATACACAAAAGTACAATTAGAAGTGCAAAATGTCCACAAACACAATGAATTAAGCATTTCATTGGCAAAGGAAGATGAAAATCTCTAAAAGCCCAACAGCTAATCTCCAACAAATGGTCAAAATCTAGGGGGAAAGGGAACCTTCCCTCCAAACCCCTCTTTTCCTCCCAAAAAAAAAACACAAAAAAAAAAAACAGAATAAAACAAAACAGAGAAGAAGAGAATTAATCTCATTGCACCAGCTAAGTGGAATATCATGAGCCAAAAACCAACACCAGAGAGAGGCAAAGCAGAAACTTCACTCAATGAGAACCCTTTTTCCCTGGTGCAGGAACAAGACAATTAAAACCACCACTTTCTCCCCAAAAAAAAAAAAAAAAGGCAAAAAGGCAAAAAAAAATTGAAAACTGAGCATGAACAGACAAGATGCTAGCATTTTGACAATTAATTTAAATGCCCTCGCACCAATCCGATGGTGCACCAATTGCTATGAGTGTTGACATTGTAAAAGAATATACACTAACTATACACAACTTGCACCGTACACAACCTAACTCTCGTATACAATTACATGAAGTATAGCTGTTTTGCCCATCCACCTAAAGGCAAAAAACAAAAACAAAAAACAAAAAAGCAATTCCAGCCACTTCAGATACATGCATCCGGAACAAACCTAACCCGCTGTACAGTTTGCTCTGACAATGAATATACAACAATGATGCCAAAACTTCCTTACCCGAACCAGAATTACCGCTACTAAAAAAGCATTGGCTGGGTTGGGACCCTATCTCGGCATCAAGTCTTCATTCTCACAGTAATCAAAACAATATAGCACAGCTCAGGCAGAAAAATCTGTCCGGGATAAAGAGTCATTGGCCTTCAATTGGTGATTGAAATCCCAACAGAAGATGGCCTAGTTCTACCTTTGACGTTCCAATTGTTCTTGAGAAGATGCATCCGGAACAGTTTCCTCCTCCTTGGAAAGGCATCCAATAGGCACATAAACAAAACCTTTGGGTAATCGCTGATTCTTCATAGATGCTTGATCTGATGTCATTACCAGCTCCTTTTCAAATGTTTCAGTATGCTGAGTTATTTATGAGAACCAGTCAACATCTTCATTTGAGACAGGTCAAGTATTAAAAACAACACAAGTTACAACTGAAACATACCAATCAGTGATGCAACAGAGTTTTTACCTTTCTATACTTTGATCGCTTGTCCTCATCATCTGTAAGGTTCCGCAATGCAACAGATGATGGCCTATGTGGGATTGTCTTCCCAGAGAATGAGGCCCTCTCTGCAGGTTTTTGTGTAACAATGTGTTGCGATAGAGAGATGTCCTCTGTTTTTTGGTCATTGTCCATTGGCATGGGAAATTTGATTGGCCGTTTACCTGCAACTGTGCTGTCCACTGTTATGTCATCAGATCTTTGGATGGCTTCACTGCCTGATTTGTAACCAGCTGAATGGCCTTTAAGGGAGGTTGTAGCTGATTCTGAACTAACATCCTGTGGGAAGAAAGAACTACGGACTGCTGACAAAGCAATGGAATCTCTACTTGAAGCCAATATCTCATGTGAGCAAAGAATTAGTTCACGCTGCAAAATTCAAAAGGAAATCAAAATGTGAAAATCAGCTCCCTATATCAGACTAAAAAACTCCATTGGCACTCAACTAGCCTACGTGTGTGTGAGAGAGAGAGAGAGAGAGAATATGGGGATAGCAGACTCTCCCATAAACATGAAGAATATTTTCAGTAAATGGCTTACAGGATTTTTCTATTTAGCACGGAAGTAACCAGTTCAACTACTATGAATGCGAACCCGAGCATGATCACATGAGGATAGCCATATGCTCAAAACAACAGAAACAAGAAAAACACGGGGAAGAAACAGGTGCAACAAGACTCCCATATCCATGATTTCAATGTAGAACATGGAAAACCAATCTGTTGATGCAAATGACTCCAATATTGGACTACAATGTCGGCGCATAGTAGGTTATCAATTATCTAATTCCAATCATTCTGTTCCCAACCATGGAGAATCCAGAGCCAAAATCAATACTCAAATGGCTAGCAATATTTAGAACTAGGGTATCACTGCTGAACCAAACACAAAATCGCAACTTGACACACAAAGTATGCTGCATCATCCAGAACCGAAACTACTAGTTCATGTCGCATCGTCCCAATTCATAGTACTTCCCTGCATAGAACTGGAGAACTGATAGCACCTACCAGAAAATTCTACTCACAAAAGAAGATTGCTCATGCAAAGAGAATGAAATTATAAAGATCATGAACACACCACTCCTCTACCTGCATAAATATAAGGCAATCCGTGATGTAGGACAGGAGTATAAAATCAAAATAGGGGCTTTTTTAGAGTTGTGAACAGTACCCATGAATAGTAACTTTGACTAGAAATCACTCCTAGGGTTCCTTAAGCATCACACCTTGGGGGTAGAATTGCATCACACAACTCAAGAAGCACATAATTGCTGAAATTTCTGAAATATATCTCCCCCTTTTTATTAAAAATATCACTAACTATACAAATAGTTCTATGCAGTGTTCAACCGTGAACCAGGACCCTAACTGGTCCGGTTCCTTAGTTGAACCGTTTAAGGAAGCGAACCGGCTAAAAATCAAAAAACTGGCCGGTTTTTGTTTTTAACAAAAACCGGACGGTTTAATGCCTATTTAAAAATTAAATTACATAAATAAATTTTTTTTCCTTAAATCAGTAAATAGTTGATTTTTTTAACCTTATTCTTGGAAAAATTATAAATGACACCCCTTCTTTTTCTTTATAATTTACTTGAACCTCTTTACTTTGCTTTAAAATACAATAACCCCCACTTTGATACTTAATTCATTAATTTTATGGCAAATTTTATGTATTTTATACATATTTTATATTTTTTAGCTAAATTATTAAGTTTTATAATTATTATATATATATTTTTCTTTTTTTATTATATGACCAGTCCGACCAGTTAACCCAACAGTTGAACCAGTGAACCATTGACCCGGTCCCCTTGCCGATTCGATGACCGGTCCGGTTCTGATAACATTGGTTCTAAGTATTCTTAATCCCAAAAGATTAGGATTCCAAAATCTCTAGAACTCCAAAACCTTTAAATCACTAAAAATTAGAAGACTAAAACAAACTAGAACTAGAACTCTAAATTTTAGCATATTCAATACTAGTGTTTGACCCAAAAGACTGACCCATTCCAGAAATTCTAAAATTACAAAAATACCCTTGAGTCTAAAAACTATTAAAAGGACATATAAAATACTAATACTAGCAAATCGACTCAGACTAACTTAAAATAAGACTCAAAATACAATAATGTAAAGTTCCATATGGATCTTTGTCTTGATGACAATCCAATTCCATTATTTTCCACATATTTGAATTTTGTTTTCTTGAACATCTAATGGATTGCATCATTCTTTCCCTGGCTAGAGAAAACTCGAAGTGTTCCAGTATGAAAGTCCAAAAACTTTGAACTTGCATATGTAACTGTCTCTAAGAAGCTTTAAGATGATGCCTCTTTTTCTCCTCAAATTGAGGGAATAAAGAAAAGATTTGAAAATTGATCTCCTCGATTGTATCGAAAAAGTTTTATGGAATGATAAAATCAATTGGAGCAAAGTGAATAGAAAAAAAATTTGGTGATTCTTCATGTAGATCCTTGGAAGATGCAAACAAATCAAACTCTTGGGACATCGTTGTTGGCTGGTTGAATGTCATTAATGGGAACAATTTCACTAAGCAACACTTTGGCACTATTTCAGAACTCTAAAATAGTAACTTACTCATCTCTAAAGGCACATCGGATTCAATACTAGTTGCTGGAGTTTTCATCTTGTTAGGCTCCACAACAAAAAAGTTGTTTGGATATTCACTTTTTTCCTTAGCCTCTGGACAAGTAAATAGTGTAGTTTTTTGGGATTGTGTCGGTTCTTCTGCTTGATTTCCTCCATCTTGAATTATTAGATCGCTTGTTGCTTTGGGCTACTTTTGATGAATCTTCTCTAATTGCCCAATAGAATCCAAATAACTGAGAGTTTTAGCCCTTTGAAAAGTAAAAACACTTGATGTACTTACTTAATAAAAGAAATTTAGGTACATCTCTGTACCAAGTGCTACTTGACATGCATGCTCTACGTTGTATAGTGGTTGCCCAAGTAATTATGCCTTTATATTTGCCTTTAAACTTGCCTTGAATTTAACAATTGTTTGACAGGGAACTTATGTATTTTACTTTTAAACATTAGATCTTTAAACCTTGGGAGAATTACGCAAAGACCCCTTGAAGTTTGTCACTTAATCACTCAGACCCCCTGATATTTAAAATATTACACACAAACCTCCTGAGGTTTGCACGCACCCAACACTTAGGCCTCTGCCATCGATATCTGTTACTATATCCGTTAATAAATTACACTTAAACCCCCTGAAATTTGTAGGTATATAATACTTAGACCCCTCAAGTGTAAAATATTATACTTAAATAAAAAATACTCAAATCAAAAATAAAAATCAAATACTTTAAATTTTTTCTTAAAAAATTATAATTAGTATACAATTATACTATCTATTGGAATTTCAACTACCAAATTACCCCAATTAAAGTTAGAAAATATTATGTCAATTACAGTTTGACACTTTGTTTGATTTTTTTATTTTATTCCAATAGAAAATGTACTTCTATAATAATTATGATTTTTTAAGAAAAAATTGAATTTTTATTTTTAATTTTATTTTAATAAATAATACAATAAAACATGAATTTTGGTTATAAAATTTAAAATCTATATAAGAAAACATCTAAGAGTTTGAAAGTTTATCCCCTTCATATTTTTTCCCCAAAAAATATCACATCACTCATTTATATCACATATTCAATCATTTAATATCCAATTAATTTGTAATTTAATATAATTTTTATTTTAGACATTAACCATACCCAATAGTGTACACAAATTAAAAAAAAAATTCAAATTATGTATTTTGAGAAAATTGTCAATATTTTAAAAAAAATAAAAGGTAAAAATAAATTTTAAATGATATAATCAAAGAAATGAGAGAAAGAAATATTATTATTTAATATAGCATATTCGAATTTTTAGGCGTTCGACTTTTATGTTTTATTATACCTTTAGGCATGGGCTATAACTAGTATTTGATATTCTATCTTTGGTTTGAGTATTTTTTATCTAAGTTTAACATTTTAGATTTGAATGATCTAAGTATTATACGCTTACAAACTTTAAGGGATCTAGTGTAATTTACTAACGAATATACTAACGACAAAGGTCTATGTGTAATATTTCAGATGTCAGAAATCTAAATGATTAAACGACAAACCTCAAGGGGTTTAGATGTAATTCTCCCTTTTGAATATACCCTGTCACACATAGGTTACCTTATTGTAGATTAATAAGTTGTTTACACAACTTGCTATGATAGTTTGACGACATATACTTCTAATCTTCGCTTTCATCTCTTGTTATGTGTTCATTGACAACAATCCCAATCTTCTTGAACACCAATCCACCAAATTTTTGCCAAACCTAAAAGTTTCATCTTGGCAAACGTTACTCTCCGCTCATCCGAGAAATTATACCAAACAAAATAGTTAGAAGCAAGTCAACTAGAGAATATTGTAGAATCATCCCTTCCATTAAATCTTGGATCTCCATCATCATATATCGATATTTAAGCCCCATAACATAGGATTTTTTGACTCCAATACCAAAACTGATGTAGGACATGAGTATAAAATCAAAATAGGGATAGTTTTGGAGCTGAGTAGTAATTATGTTGTGCAGTAATGTGAATAGTAACTTTGACTAAGAATCACTCCTAGGATTCCTCAGGCATCACTAGGGATTAGAATTACATCACACAACTCAAGAAGCATATAATTGCTGAAATATCTCTCTCCTTTTATTAAAAAATATCACTAACTATATATAGAATTCTGAATACTCCTAATCTCAAAGATTAGAATTTCAAAGTCTCTAGAACTCCAAAACCCCCAGATCACTAAAAATTAGAAGAATAAAACAAACTAGAACTAGGACTCTAAATTCTAGCATATCTAATACTAGAGGTTGCAGAAATTCTAAAAAATTATAAAAATACCCTTGAGTCTAAAAACCACTAAAAACTAAAAGAGCATATAAAATACTAATACTAGCAAATTAACTCGAACTAACGTAAAATAAGACTCCAAATACGATAATGTAAGATTCCATATGGATCTTTGTCTTGATGACAATCTAATTCCATTATTTTCCACATCTTCAAATTTGTGTTTTCTTGAGCATCTCATGGATTGCATCAATCCGATTTTAATAAGCCATCTTATAATTATGAAAAACAACGAGTCAACAGATTAAGTATGCAACAACCAACCAATCTTGAAGATTACAAACCAACTGGAAAGTAACACAAAATTCGTTCTCCGTGCAAGTTTTTAACTACAGAAGCATGTTTCAATTTAGAGATATTGCACACATTTCAGTCTTCAAACTTGCACACATTCCTACAATGAATTTTTAATTTTTTGAGCTTGTCCAACCACAGAATTTTGAGGAGATATTTATATATTAGTTGTAGTTCACATCCATATTTAACTTTGATAAGAAAACTGATATTTAATTCCAAAAGCTTGCACATGTTTGGAAACCTACTAGAGAGAAAATCCATTGATAATATATTATAAAGTTTACCTTCAATTTCTCTCGTTTGATAATTCTTTCACAAAGGAGGCGTAACCTTTCCAATTCAACCTGTTCCAGAGCATTTCATGCAGTATCAGATAAGTCATATAGTTAAACACTTGCAAACAGAACATAAACCAATGTGTTTTTAAGCATCAAGTGCTCAACCAAGAATATCTACGAAGATGATATCCCAAAAGTAGTGCAGGCAGGCTTGAGAAATAAAAAAATGAAGTATATTATTACCTTTTCATACTAAATCATTAACTCTATTATCTATTGCTTTTAGTCCAAAACCTTGGGAGCAGTTAAGCATAGATTTTTAAACCACAAAGGAGGTTAGGTGTCTTGTACTCAATCCACAATGTGGTAAATTACAACTTTACCCTTACAAATTATAGATTCAACTTGAACAATTCATAAGAAATAATCCTTACTTACCCTAACTTGCTTAAGACTCTTCAATTCTTCAACTCCATGTTTTTGATTCTCAGCCTGTAGTGTTCGTTAAGAAAGGATGAGAAATGAACAAAATACAGATTCACATGTATCAAAAAAACAACAGCGAGTGAAATTTATTGCGGAAAAAGGACAAATCTAACCTTTGCTCTCTGTTCTACGCTATGCTTTTCACAATAAGCCTTGTGCTGCAACTTGCCACCACCAGTCCTCACATTCATGTAGAAAACAGCACTTCTAGCACAAGAGGGATGAAACGTGCTCTGACAGTGACCGTAATTGCACTGCATGAAAAAAATTACATTTGATTCACTAATAAAACTATCTTCATTCTAAATGAATTGTCTCAGAGCAACTCATAAATTCTGAACACCTTTATGCAGACACCTTGTTTGCGACGGCAGACATGGCAAACGTCACACCCCTTGGAAACTGTCTCCTGGCATTGTTCATACCATACAAATGATGAATATTACACAGATAGCTAGGATTTTCTCTAAAAACTTGCATAAAAAATAAATGCAAGTTCCAAGCTTCACGGCCGCTCATGCAAAAAAGGGGTAGACTTAAAAATATCTGTTTGGTAGCAAACGACATAATTTTTTTTTTTTTTATTATTATACCTATAGGACATAAATATATGACTACTCATATCCAATGAAAATGCATGCACATACCAGTCCCTCAATAGGATTTACTTGTCCCCTCTTGAATGTTGATTCTAACACCCACTACAGCACAAAAAGGAAATACAACATGGAGGAAAAAATAAGAAGCCAAAATATAAATTCTCATCCGCCAAAATAGGTTGCCACTAAAGGAGGAAAAATTTTACTTCAGCACAGAAGGCATGGATCCATTGACCATCAGTTGACTTTCTAAAAGCACCAGCAGTGCCACCACATAAACCACATTCTGCAACAAAAAAAGGCTTCTCCCAAGAATTGACAGCTGGAGCTCCAGAGCTTCCAGGCGACAATAAATCCTCACATAATTCACAATACCATGGACCAGTATAATCTTTATCACTACGGTAGCAATCCACGTGAACCGCAACCTGTCAGAAAAAAAAGTGTTCAAAAACTGCAGTCACGTATATAATTTTCAAAAGTAAATGTCTGAGGTTAACCTTGCAACCCGAACAGACTAAGATCGGGTTCAAAATAGTCTCAGACCGTCTGCAGATATCACAGGTTCTGGGGTGTTCTTTAGACAAATTTACAGTCGATTGGACTAAATTGGAGTTCTTTTCTAATGAAGCTCGTGAAACAGAAAGTGTCTCCTTCGCTCGTGGCATGTGCTGAGAGTAAAGACTAGCCCTTCCATTAAAAGTGCCCACTTTCACTGGGTTCTGCACAGCAAAAAGTTGAGTCAACGGTTCTGAGTATAACAAAGTCCATTATAGTTATGACTAATATTCTAGCAGTTTCCTCTATCATGACTAGAAAGCATGTTAATCTCAGGAAACAAAGAATTTACAACCTCCTGGTGTGTAGATTCGTCAATGGCATCTTTTCTAAATGATGAAATCCTAGATGAAGCGGCAGCTGCAGCAGTTGCAGCAGCCAATACAGCCTGAGCTTCCTTGTGCCGTCTCTCTTTTCTTCCCTGTTTTTTTGCTTCTCTAAGCTCACTAAGATACTGACTAACTAGTACATCATCCCACTTTTGTTTACCTTCAGCAGCAATCTCTTCAGGAAGACTCTTCACAACCTTACATATCAAATCATCTGCACAAACAGGACGAACACAATGCATATCTTCTGGTCACATACCTAAGAGATACATGTCAAATGGAAATCAATTCTGGTAACTACTTAGTGTTCAAATTAAACGAAACCTAGGTGTAATAAACAAAAGGCAGAAAAGCCAAAAAAAAAAATCAAGAATGCTGGGAATGCAAAAAAGGGACCAAGAACAGACCACTGAAAAGCTTTCTTGAAACCGCATTACAGAGTAGACTATGCTGATAAAAAATAAGTTCCCCTTCCACTTCATCTACTGGAGACAGTTCTAATAGGCCCATGCTCCTAGCCTTGACCAACAGTTCCCTATCTACCCCATCAAATTTAGAAATCAAATCAGTCGAAGCAGAATGTTGATTTCGGTGACCACAACAAATGCCCAAACTAGATGACGCCTCCAATGGTTCTCTGTCCCTTGAACCTGCCAAGTAAAGTGAGTAACCACACAACCTTAACAGATCCAACATAGAAGCATCAGACAAGTCTTACCATCACAATCATCATCTGTGTTCTTCAACTGGACCCCATTCTGCATTTGCATCAATTTGTTGTGTATAAGCGGGTGAATGTAAAAACTAGGCGATGCTGCAGATTTACTGCATTGCAAATTGAAAACACTGGTAAAAGTTCATGGAAAACCATTTTCATGAAGACAAAATAAAAGGAAGATGCTTCCCAGCCCTTAAAAAAGAGACAGCTTGCCTTAGAGAAATATAGCAGATAACGAGATGGATCCCATAATGCTTACATGAAACGTGGGGTCTGATTCATGGGAACTGAACAAATGGGCTTTTCCAGTTCTGCATTCACTATAGAATCCCTCTCACAAAAAGGAGCCTCTTCTGCTTGGCCACCCTCAGAGAGGCAGGAGTTTGAGGGTTTGGCCGGATCACCTTTCCAAATATGGCCTAAGTATAGAACAAAGCACAAAAGAAAATTTTGAAGTAAAAATCACGACACTCAACCCAAGTTTTAACTAACCAAGGTAGCATTATATTCGTATCCGTAGAGTCTGAAAGGCGATATTTGATACTGGACAAATGAATCACTGTAGAATCCTTGGATGCAATATGCGCTATTGATAAACTTAAATAAATTCTGAGGCTCCCACTACCAATCTCAGAGAAGAGAAAACAACGGTTTTTTTTTTTCCATGGGTAAGGCTGGGGTCAGTCTCTTATATCGAAAAAACAAACTAAAGGCAAAAAATACCACAAAATTGGGGAAAGAAATTGAAGAATCAAGTCCATAGTTTCTCCAAAAGCAAACAATAATAATAGAAACAAAAACAACTACTACTGCTAAAATTTAAACCAATGGTCCCATGTAATGGGTGCCATGCCTCCCCCCCCCCCCAAAAAAAAAATATATATATATATATATATAAAATCATAGTCCAAAACCCAAAAATATGTCCTCCATAACTTTCAACAAAATATCTACCATATCAACTTTCAAAGAACCTATTCTGACTTTTATCCATCTATGACGCCACATATTCTTTGCCACCTTTCGGCTAAACTTTTTTCGATAGGAAACAGAATTTTTGTATGAATAAAGATTGAAAAGTACAGCAAAAATGGTTGGATTTCAACCAACCAAAAAGTAGGAAAAAAAAGTGAAAAAAAAGCCTAGATCATATAAAAGGCCTATAAATCACAAGAAACTTTCCATCCCGCTAAAATAGCTAAAGGCAAAATTCCTTTAAAATCCTTCGAAACTGAAGCTCTAAATGATGCCAAAAAATGAATACGGCCCCATAATCCTTCCAAGAACTCAATACTTTTTTCAAAAATTCTTGCATTCCTCTCCTTTCATATAACTCAAAAAATAGCCTTAATCAATTCTCCCAAAAACTTTCAAATCTTCAACAAATAAGAAAATGGGTGACTCAAAAAACACCTGGCACAAACCCGCCAAGGTAAACAATTTATACCACAAGGACAAAGCAATTGGGCAGGTAAACAAAATAAATTCACAATACGACAAGAGTACAAATAATCGATTATCAATTACTGAAAAGGATTACATCAACATCAAATAGGTCATCAATAACTTTGAGCTTCCTGGATTTGATTTTGTCGGTTCAAATCTATAACAGATTTGAGTCTGCCGGTTCGGATCTATACCAGATTTGAGTATGTCGGCTCAGACCTCTATTGAATTTGAATCTGCCGACTCAAACCCATTCAGGATACTCTTAGGGTCTCAATTGAAACATCAAAATGATAACACGTTAATCAATTGTATCTCAAAATCAAAGAATTTAATCGAAATTTCAAATGATAAAATTGGAATACAAATCGATATAATCAAAAGAAATACTCTTTGCAAAGACAATTAGGAGCATATCATGAATAACCCCACTTGCCTAATCATCAATCGACATCGATAAATATGCAATTGAAAGCACCACAAACAACATACTTGAATTCAATCTCAAATAGATTCCAATTCCTATTTTGATTTCTACATGAATGCTCACGATTTTCTTTTTCTTTCTTGCTCTCTCTCTTATATATGTGTCTCTCACGGTTTTGCCCCCATAATTTACAAAAGCTAAATACTAAATAATGCATATATATCTGCTTTCCCTATATTAAAGACAACACACAACACACTTATTCACTCCAAATGTTACACACTGACAACCATTGGACATGTGTCCAATTATTACTTCATTTATTATTTCTTTTCTTTCTACTTTTTTTATTCTCTTGTATGTCCATTCATCCTTACAGATTAACACAACATATTCAATTTCAGCACCTAATATACATACTACTACAATTACCGGAAAAGACAACAATTCATATATATTTGCCTTAGAAACCACAATGCACAAGCACAGACCTCACGTGGTGCACACCCCACTTGGAACAAGTATCCATTTTTGTTTCAATTTATTTTTATACTTATCTAATTGATATATGCTGTAGACACTTGGCAACACATGCACATAGAACTGTGATGTGTGTCACCACGACTAAACCAACTTTACGATATTTTATTCATAACTTTTCATATTTCCTACTTATTTTGTGACCCTAATAAATTTTTATAATTTGAATTAGTATTATTAAACCCTCAATTATACTATTCACTTATAAGAAAATTATAATTTGACAACTAAAACTCAACACCATTCATTATTTATTCTTTTTCAGGATGGGATGTTACAATATTCACACCCCTTACAAAAAAAAATTCTTGGCAAGTACACAACTTATAAATTTACCCATTCAAACGAACTATCCCACAACAAGTAGATTAGTTTTTAATCAAGTTTTTTTTCTTGCCAATTATTTCATAGCATATAGAAGATTCGAACGACAACAATTACCCCACATCGAAAACATGAGGGTAATTTGAGACTAAAATCAACATAATGACAAGCCATGGTTAAATAAACTTTACCACAAACTACTTTGGTGCTAAAAAAAAAGCTTAGGTATGACACCTATTGGAACAAAAATAATAAATCCTTGGGAAAATTATAATTTACACCCTTAAAGTATGCACCTAATCGTTATTTAGTCCTTGAAGTTTCAATTACAACAATCAAATCCTTAAGAGTTTTAGTTAAGTTTCAATTTAGTCGTTACATCAAAATTCACCAATACATTATGACAAAATAGTTTTCCGTAACCAAAATTTGCCAAGTTTTCAGGTATATTTGCCTGGTGAAAAATCAGTTATGTTTAGGCTAGAAAATCTTACTTTATTCCATCTGATTTTGAGACAAATAAAAGAGCTAGCAAACCTAGAAAAAAAAGATATAGAGTGAGAATTTGAGAGATATTGTGACAAAGAGAGAAATATCGATGTATTTGAGAGATATTTTTTACTGAATAAATATACCCTTATGACAAGTCGTGCGACATCTTTCTAGCGGAACAAATTAACAAATTTGATGGAAGGTCTAGATTAAAAATCGATTACAACTTTAAGGATATATTGTATCAATTGAAACTTCAGGGACCCAAAAAGAAATTATGTGCATATTTTAAGAGTGTAAATTGTAAAATACCACAAATCCTACTCAAAAAAAGAAAATTTATGTTCCATAAACTTTTAAAGAAAAGGTTTTTCCAAACCTTAGCCACTAAAGTCCAATCAATTATCTATCCACGCACATAATTTAAGTAGAAAAAGGGAAGGGAAACCAAGTCTATTCTAAACTTTTCACCATCTATAAAATCCACACCTCTTCCACCACCTTTACAATACCCTAAATCAACAATTCTCCCACAACCTTAGGCCCCTATAAATCCAATTATAGGCATCACCAGTCCGATGTAGCTAGTGTCGTCCAGCACAAAAATCTGTCATAACACAAAAGGATCCTCCACAAAAGGTTAGCATCATATGACACAATAGATTCAACATTAATCTATACCCTCTTTACAAAACATTACCTGAATGTAACAATGGCCACAACCAAAGGCAAGAAGTCTATTTAATTAAATGAAAATCTAGTTCAAAATGTGTCTAACTCCAACTTCTATCCTCACATAAGATAGCACCGTAGCCAATCATACAAACCAAGCTAGCAATGCTAAGTTGTTGGTGTTTTCCATTTTGTTACCAGTGTTTACATGTTTGATTTAGATTGTTATATATATCCTACATTTTGTAAATCGTCACCCAACAGCTTTATGCCCCAATCCCATCAAGAAATCATGGGTGCAGCTCGGACGGGTTGAGTGAGTTGAGAGGTCAACCAAGACTTCACCAAGTTATAAAACCTTAATCCGAGCCCTTCAACCTGAGGACTATACATGTTTAAATTTGTTAAATAGGATTAAACTTGATTTAAAATTAGTACAAACAACCAATCAACTAAAGTTTCAAAGTTAGTTATAGGACCCAAAGATTTATACCTCCACCAATTACCATAGGAAGGATGTTTTCTCTGTCTCGCACTTCAATCCAAAATCGACCCCAAGCTATTGAACCCTTCATAAACGATCTGCAAATCAAATCCTCAATTCGTCTTTTACTGTCCAAGGAATCCCCTCCTCAAACTTCACTTGAAATCCACCAAAGCAAAAACAAAGTTATGAGAGTTGTGTGTCGCCTACTAGGTAGCACTTTGAAAGAACATAATCTAGGTGACAAATAACATGTGAAGAATATGTGGATCGCACCAAGTATATCTTTTGTTTGGCATGCTAGGGTTAAGCTCTCTAAGCTTTTTATCTCTGAAAAACTTTATTTTGCAACCCTTATGAACGTACAAAGTCATACCATACATCTAGGAATGAAACTGGAATCCAAATAGGAAAATAAAATCTGCAGAATCCCGATCAACTACTTGAGCCCTGAGAGAACGTTGGTCGCTTCTAGACTGTCTGAGGCCAAACCACATAATTGCTCAACATTAGGTGAGTGCTAAGCAAGTAGTGGTCTCGTGTTGAGAGCTTTATTCACTCCAATACAAAGGACCAGTTGAGCACTAGGCAAACGAGAAGAGGGTGGTGCCTTCTAGTTTTTCTAGACAAAACCAGATTTCAAATCCACCTTTTGAGCACCAAGGGGTGTTACAGCTCCATAACATAATGCTCATTGTGTTTCAAAAACTTATTTCCAACCCTAGAATAGTTTTTCAAGATCGAAATGAGAGTCATGCTATGGATAAAACAAATACAGTCTAAATTGAATTTTTAACCTATGTCTGAACTATTCGAGGCTCACTAGGTCTCTAAGGTGACTTACCTCATCTAAACCTAATGGAAACCTATAAAGGAACTCTTAATGTTTGCAATGACGCTTCAATCCTTTCTTCTCATCCAGCTTTGGTCTTCAACTTTGTAAGCATTATAAACCTTAGAGGTAGTTGAGATATTGACAATGTGACTCGCAGAATTTTGCCAACACACTTTTATCATATCATTATCATATGCTCTCCCATTTAATTAGTGCTCTACCCCTAAGTAAAATAGCTATATGAATCAGGCCAAGTGAAAACAAGTCCTTGTTACCCATATTTCTCTCCTTTTTTTATCACGAAGTGTCAAACAATGCTATGTTAGAAAAAAACCTAACGACATTTTGGCATTCAATATTAGTACTAAAGTCAACTACTCAAATGTAAATTAAGTATTTTTATATCGCATTTGCGAATGCAACACCAGCATACGAAGTCAAGGTTGGTCAGAGTTTGAAATTTCTATTTAGTTTAACTAGTGTCCTAACCTAATAGAGGTGACTAATACCAAGGATCACCATGTAGAAGAGGAAGGAACACCATAATAAGTGCATGAAGTAATAAATTAAATTTCTTACGAAAAACATATATCACATTTAACTAGTGTCCCTACCTAAAATGGAGGACAAACAATTTTAGGCAATTTGTGATCTTTGCATCTTGTATACGTGCTTCACATATAGAATCGGTTTTTAATTTTAAATTGGCATTTATCTTTTGCATTGAGTGCAAAAGACCTATTCACCCCCTTTATGTCAAACTACATCTAATAATGTGTAAGAGACAATTCATTCAATTCTCAACTGGTATCAAGACTTCTAGTTAACTTCTTGCGTTTTTGACCTAGTGAATTTACTGCTAGCAAAAACTCCAGTCGTTTGGGATGGACAGTCATAGTGAAAGAGGATCAATCACCATACTGCCATCGTTTGACAGCTGAAATTATGCCTATTGAAAAGCACACATAACAACTTTTCTCAAGTCAATAGATGAACGTGTACAATTATCCACTTAACTTGGTTATACCTCATGTACTCAGAGCATTGAAAAGAGAATAGCTCCAAACCAGAGCAAATAGACTAAGGATGATTATGAGATTTGTGGTAAGATGTACATCAATGCCACTTTATTTGAAAACTTCATAAATTTGGGTTGAAATCGGAATAAATTTGGTTTGATTCTGTAGTTACAAAATTCGGGTTGAAATTCACGTTGAAACCAATTTCACAATTGTGGGTTGGGTTCCAGAAAAAAAAGACCCGGAGTTCAGTCAAAATACAAAACGGATTGGATTTGTTATCCAAGCCTAACCTGAGTACTGGAAATCTTACACCAAAGTACCAGCTAGTTTAGGCTGGGCTTGGGTTGACTTGCCCAAATTGCACCCCTACGAGAAACAAACTTCAGTCATCAATCTGCTATAATGTATAACGTCGTCTTCTACATGGGTACATATCCGTGCACTCATGTGTCTTTGGAGGTTTCCATGCCAAATGTGCCATTATGGTGCCAACATAAACAACTACAAAATGATATCCTTGAATAGGGCAAAAATACCATGTCACTACACAATGTGTAAAATTCCCTTACCTCTAGACAATCCCCTAGCTCAAGGGAAAAAAGAAAGGCAACCAAAACTGGTGTTGTACTGACAATTGACTCTGATCACAATAGAAGATACCAAAAATTGAACATATACATCAAGCACCCTTCTCCCTTTTACAATTAAGCGCCATCGTCCACCAAACAACATATTTTCTTCTCAACCTCTATGAGTATCCATATCAACCATATGTATTGTGGATATGTATTGGCAAAGTATCCAAAATTTTATTATTATTGGATATGATTGGTGTGTATCCGACACATATCCTCGAGTATCCGATGAATATCAATCTGATGTAAATACATCAACCTTAACAAAATATTCGTGTTTTATAGGCAAAAGGTCAAATATACCCTTGTGATATTTACAAAAAGACAAAATAACCCATCTCTCTATTCCTTTTTCTCTATTTGTTTGTTCATTTGTTCAAAAAAATAAAAATACGAACCACTACTACAGAACCACCAGTTGCAACACCTTAACCACCACCACATTGATCATTTAATTCTTGTATCTACAATGAGCCTTCAATTGTTTGATCGTTATTTTGATCAAAGTCCCCACATATATATACACGCACATGCATTTTGAATGCGAATAAAATCTTCTAAAAACCATCAAACATCACCAATTGTTTTTGATGAAAATTCCCCCCCCCCTTCTCTCCCTCTCCCCCCCCTCTCTGAGTCACAGAGGTAAGGGCAGAAGGTAAATAGAGGATTCCATAAGAAAGTGGAACTTTGAAGTTCAAAAAGAACCCAAGAGTCTGACTTCACTTGTTCTTAGTGGAAAAAAATTAAGCATAATCTCACGACTACACTGGTATGTCAAGACCTCTCTGTCTTAGTCCCTTCCACAATAGATGTTTGATATTTGTTCTTTAGTGAGAGAAAGTAGAGAGAGCAAGAACTGTCATTATGTACTAGCATGTATGTGTGAGACGAAGAGAAGATTGACTAAGTGGATAACTGATTTACTAGTCCTGCTTATGTTTGGTGTTCAACAGCAGTCCAATATCTATCTCCTTGTTCTTGTTCTTCTTCGCCCTCTTGATGGTTGAGCAATGCATAATGAGTTGTCACTCCAGTATGGTTCTGCCGGCAAGTAATCCTCCCCTTCCCCCCCTTCTCCTCTCCTTCTTCTTTTTTGTTCGGGTTATAATTAAATTCTATTCTTTTAGTTTCTTTCCTTCTTTTCTCCCCTAGAAGTAAACCAGTGCATACAAAAATAATTCAAGCAACAATGCAATGACCACTTCGTAAGTTTTAAGAAAATAAAAAAGAAAGAGATGAGAAGAAATGTCATTCAACATTCTACCAGTTCCGATAACGATGTAAGTTTTTCAGAATCCATTGGAGTTCTGTGGTTTCCTTTTAACCATCAGGGGTTGAAGTACTATGGGGCTACCCCAAGAGAATAAAATAGCATCCACCAACAAAAAATTCATCATGCCAATATTAGCCTTTGGGAAAAATATAAAATATTAGTCATAACGAAAAGTTACCCATTTACTCAAGAAAATTCCCCCACACAATTTCAATCAAAATAAACATGGCCTGAAAAGATCAATAAATCCCATGAGATCTCACCAAGTGATGAAGAATATCACCTAATAACATCAACAACACAATTTTAACAAAATCCTTCAAGCCTTCCTTAATGAAAAGGCAAGGTTTCCCTCAAAACTAGACTTAACAGATTGGGTGCACATAAGCAACGAGAAGCACTAAACAGCATTGGCATTTAGAAACGAAATATGATACAAGAATGTAAAAACATGTGTATAACTTGAAAGGCTGAATGGCACTGTGCAAGGATTTATGTTTCAACTAGACAAATACAAGGAATAACCAGATCAAACAATGATTCTCAAAGCACACCTTCAGATTTAAGAGAATTGTTTGCCAAAATATTAGAGACCCAAACATCTTCAACCGATATCTGCGCAAACAAAACACATTCGTAAGAAAAATACTATACTTAGTCATTTGACATCAAAACCCAAGAACAACAATCGGATTATCCGTCATTATGAGATATAATCTTAAAAAGGGTTAGTGATGTACCAACATCACCATCAAAATAATAAAAGGAACAGAGGCCTCCAAAGTGGTAGGCCTACTGTGATGGAGGTGATGGTTACCAATTGACAATACAGAAGCCTCATTTTCACCATTAACTTTTCTTCAATCAACATAGGATGGAAATCTAACAAATCACCATGCACAATTTCTAGTCACTCAGGTTGGTGAAAATAATTCTGGAGGACGACAACAAAACAGATTATTAAGACTTTTTCTTGTCCAATAGAACGAACTTCAGTAAGTAAAAAGCTACCAATAATGTAAATCATATAGTTGTGGTAGCCACAAAGAGAGAAGCAGAGAAGGGTGCCATCAAATAGGAAGTCTACTGATAATGAAACACTCAAAGGAGATCCAAGGAAGAATGCAACTTATTGTCCTACTCTCAATCAACTTCATTGATACTCTTCACTTTTGAATCACAAATTCTTTCAAAGAAAAACCGCAATTGAAGGATGACTGACACAAAGACGTAAACCAGTTTACAAGAATTTGATCCCCACAGAAAAAAAAATGGAGTAGAATTAACTGAACCAAAAGGAAATCTAGACAACCCACAGTGTAATTATGAAGAGGAAGATTCAACACCACATGCATGCATAGATCCATACCAATCAAGTAAATTTAGAGGAACTGACTCAATCATTATACTTCAATGTTACCCATAGAATAGGGCCAATAAGCCCCTTTCCCCCAACCCCACCCCATGAATATTAATCAGGTGTTGTACTCAGTAAGCACATAACTCGCTTCTATTAGGGAGTTTAATAAGTATAACATTTTTCAAACACATTAACCTAAAGCCAATCTCTCTTTTCTTAGGCTGATAGATGTGTTTCATTAGACAGTCATTAGAATAGAACAGCAACGCTTTATGGAACCAAGTGTAAGGCAATCAAGAAACAACGAGCTCAAAAACTTGGTGTCACAGAAATTAGAATAGTAAGAGTGATGTTTGGTAAAACAAGGAATGAGAGAATAGGAATAATTATATCCGTAAAACCATAGGAGTAGCAACAATAGAATATAAACTAAGAAAGAATAGACTTGGGTGGTTTGGACAAGGTTTTGGTTAGTTGAGTTGAGATTTAGGTGGTTTGGGCATGTTTAAAGAAGACCTAGTAATGCATTGGCAAGGAGGAGTGATCAGATACATATTGAGGGTAATTCGGTTGTAGAGGTAGGCCAATAGAGCAAAATGGAAATACAAGATTCATATAGCCGACCCCAAATAGTTGGGACAAAGGGTTTGATAGGTTTAGAGTTGAATTTATTAACGAAAAGCCAATTAATCTATAGCTTACTTGTCCAATCATCAATCGGTGTGAATAAGCTGTTGAATTCGCCAATAAAAGCTAATAAATCATCAAACAATGTGATTACCTTCTCAATGGCATCAGCAACAGAGTCCTTACTTGGGCAATGGGAATCTTCTCTGGAATGATGGTCACTTTGAATTTCATCCATCATCACAGCACCCCTAATCATTTCCTTAGATGAGCACCTGTCCTTGTTATCCTTTAAAATCCTGATTTCACTTTTGGTTCTTCTCCTAGGTGGTACTGATTTAACAGGAACAACATCAGGGATATCAGAATCTGATGCTGCAACAGCATCACTATCATCAGCCACTCCCATCTCAGCCTTGCACCCAGTGGTGGGTTTAATTTTGACTTTCAATTTTTTTGGTGACCTACCAATGTAAGCATGATTTCTAAGCCAATCAACTAATTTGCACTGCAAATCAGGGACCAAGCATTCCTCCTGAAAAAGCAATCACATGAAATAAAGAAACAGAAGTAAAAAAAAAAAAGGATAGCAACTACGAAATTGACGTGTCTCAAGCAACAAGTATGCTGTTTGGACACAAACAAAAGACAACAAAATCAATAGAAATAAGTATTACGGCAATCATTGAGGCCAATGAATCAGAAGAGACACCAATCTCCGTGGCCACATCTTTCACATTGACTTTTCCTCGATCAATTAACTACAGAACCAACAAACATATCTGTTACATATGCATATAATTTTTCAGATAACACCAAGGAAACAATCAACGTTGACACAAAAAATGAATAAATTAACTCCACCTTCTTCAGAATCAACGCAAAATTCAGAGTCTCGGATGCGTTAATATCTTCAACACTGTTCCTATCTACGGTTTCCATATTAACACGTTGCCGAGCATCACCACATTCTGACTGACGTTTGGAATTTGACCTGGTATCTGACTGCCCATCTTCATGTAATATACCGTTGCCCATCTTATTCAAATCCTTGTCAGGTGTTTCACCGTGAAAAGCAATTGTATCTCCATGGCTTTGGCCAATCTTCAACTTGCGTGGTTTGTTCACTATTGATGACACTGGTTGATCCATGGACATGCAGGAATCAGAACCATTTGATTCAAATGGTTCTCCTATTTCTTGGGTCCTGCTATTGTTCTGGATTTCAGAATGCTTGGAGCAAAAGGCCCGTAACTCAACCTAAAATGTTGCGGAAGAAAAATTATCAGCAAGCCCAATCAATACGTAAAACAATAAAAATAGTGATAATATAATAGTATGACTATTACACATTCTTTTTAATCTAATCAAGAAAGAAAATTTAGTTTGGTGGGATTTTTTTTTTTTTTTTTTTTTTGGGGGGGGGGGTAGTTGGGGGACTCACATCATCACAACCAAATTTGCCCCATAGCTCCATTCTATATCTTGCCTCCCTTGCACATATAGGATGGAAAGAAGTTCTGCAAGCTCCTAAACAAACACCAAAATGTAAAAACAAATGAATCAGATTCAGAAATTAACAGCCACTAGGCAATACAACAATCAGTATGGTGTTGAACGCATATTAGACAATCATATATTAATGTCCCTTTGTAAGATTAGCAACACCAAGAGAGGGATTTGGTGGTCCATATACCACATTATAAATGCCATATTCCTAAATCTCTCAGCAACAGAAAAATTAAAATAATCAAATATATTGGGAAAATAGAATATCTAAGTAAAAAAAAGGAAACCCCATTTTCCAGCCAAAACTATAATAAGGCACCATCATCCTGTATCAAAGCTTGCAACCGTTTGGGCTGAAGAGCTATTGACAGAACCTTAGACTAAGGTCATCTTGTGTCCTCCATATTATACTCATCGTCTGCCACTGCTCCAAGAGTTCCTCATAAATAACCTCTCTCAAAATTGATGTCATTATTAATAGTTGTACCGAGGTGCGAATGCGATAATGAAAAGTGTCCAAGACAAAATATTTCCCTATTTTTTTCATTTCACTTTTTCAAACTATCCAGATTATATTCACACATGCACGGATAGCTCAACCCATAGGCGAGTAAGGCTCTCACTTAGGTCTCAAAATCACAAGGCTAAATGTTCATTAAAATTTAGGAAATTACATCATATCAACAAAAAACCCCAAGTCAAATCCATCTTTTGGCAAAAGAGTTGTCAATTGTACCGTTGTGATGCTATTGCACATTATAGAAGAAGAATTACTCGCAGTGTTATGGCTGTGGGTCTCATGTGCCTTATTGTTACAAGGCTTATTCATCTCTTTAAGAGTCTTTTCCTTCATAAATTTCATATCTCATTTATTAATTTATCACTTTCTAAATTTCTTGTCCTCTCTTTGTAAAGCACGAATTGATATCCTATGCAAATTCTTAATAATTTTAAAAAGAAAATTGCATTATATTCCTCCTCAAAAATTATGAGACTTCCCTCTCTCATTTTAACTTGGTTTCAATGACTATGGCTACTTATTACCCAGTTTTATTTTCCTAAACTTTATATTTTAGTCAATTTCAATCTTAACAAAATGATTTATATAAGGAGTTTGCTCTGAAAATAGTTTTCTACCTAAAATGTACCAACTAAAAAAAATATGACTTTGGACATAAGAAATTGAAAAATAATAAGAACAAAGAAGGCCCCACAAAAAAAATTTGTCTGGGGCCTAAAACACTATTGGTCAAGCTTGCAAGCTTGTGACAACTAAAAATAAAGGCTAAGCTAGAACAAGCAATAGATTGGAGGGTCTTAAAAAAAACAACTTTAGAGTTCCTGGTAAATATTGCCCCAGAAGCTGGTTTAATGCAGTTAAATGTTTAGCCTATGGCTTCCATCTCCCCTTATCATTCGCCATAGCGTTTTTGCACTCTTAAGTAATGGCTAAGCTAGAACAAGCAATAGATTGGAGGGTCTTAAAAAACACCACTTTAGAGTTCCTGGTAAATATTGCCCCAGAAGCTGGTTTAATGCAGTTTAATGTTTAGCCTATGGCTTCCATCTCCCCTTATCATTCGCTATAGCGTTGTTGCACTCTTAAGTAAATTCGGTACCATGAATCCAAGCTTAATCCAGCAGATGGCTATAATAGGGATGAGTATATAAAACCATGTACCTAACTATCAGCATAATGAAGACCCAGATATGTTAGTACCCACGACACAATTTGGGGAACTGACTACAATATCCAGTGTGGTTGCTTCTGTATTGTACCAGTTCCTAAGCTTTCATCTATGTTAACTTGAAGCCCAAAAACTTGCACAGAACACTTAAATGTGTCTTTCTAGTTTCACAACTTCCTCCCTGTTTTGTAAGGAAGAAAATTGGGGTTTTTAGTGGTCTGCAGACAGATTAAAATTACTACTGTAAAAAAATTAGAAGGCAGTGACCACAGCCCAGGTGACTCCTCCACAGCCTCCCTCATAATATGTTGTGTATGGGCCATGCACATTAACCATCCCATTTCTGAACTTATAACTTTGCATAACAGCAGTTACTAAGATGAAAATGCAGTTAAAAAGTGCTGATGGTCAAGCATGGGCAGTGCAAGAAGTACGATAACATGACCTTGAGGACCCCAGACGAAGCGAACGTGAGCGAAGCGAGAAAAAACATTCTCTTTATTAGAAAAAGCGTTCGCTTTATTGTAAAAAACGAGAAATTTTTTATTTTTAATTTGAACCGTTGGATTGGGCGATTGGAAAAAAAAATTATAAGATGAGATACACCGAATTATCCCCTTATCTAATAAATAAAACCACAAACCCTAATTTATCCCCTAATTTATGCCCTTAGCTACTCGTTGCTCAGGAGGAGGACTACACAGAAGCTCGAAGCTCGTTGCTCGCTGCTACACAGAAGCTCGTTACTCGTTGAACTCGATCGATCGACAGAGGCTCTCTGTCGCTGCTCGCTGGACTCGATCGATCGATAGAGCCTCTGTCGCTGCTTGCTGGACTCGATCGATCGACAGAAGCTCGTTGCTCGCTGCTCCTACTGGATCGACAGGTTAGTCTTCTTCTCTCTTCTTCTTCTTCTTCTCTTTTTTTCTTCTGTCTATTAATCTCCTTCCTCACCGATTCTGTTGTTTTTTTTTTCTGATCACATATTATGTCTTTTGCTCCTTCCTCACCAATGCTTCTTTTTTTTTTAAATTTTTTTGATCACATTTTTTTTTTTTTCTGATAATCAATGCTCCGAACAATATTTCTTTTTTTCCTTGTATTGTTGTCTAGTCCATATAAAGATCCCACACAAAAGTCATGTGAATGTGAACAATATTACTTTTTTTTTTTTAAGCACAACTTGTTGCTCGCTGGATTGATTTCTAAGTCTTTAAGATAGTTTCTTTAGTTGTTTGAATTGTGTGTATTATGTTTTTAAATATTAGGATTTGAGATATTATTAGTGTTTGTTTGAATTTAAATGTTTAAATTATGACTGTTATTAAGATTTGAGATATTATTAGTGTTTGTTTTAATTTAAATGTTTATGGTTTACTTGAATTTAAATATTTAGTATATATAAAATTAGAACTTAGATGTGTATGAGTAATTAAACTAAAATATTTATTTATTTTTTTAACTGTTCGCTTCGTTTCGGTAAATCGTTTCGCTTAGGAGCCTTGGTCACTTCGGTTTGCTTTATGCCTTCAAAATTCTTCACATTGTTCCTAAACATGTCTATATGTTGAAAGAAGTGAGACAAAAAAAACTTCCTCCTATAAAAAATTTCCACTCATATTTTCAAATAAATGCTTCAAAAGATTGCTAATAGTAATTGAATAGAAGGGAGTATCAACATTTCTAACAACCAACAGAAAAGCTGTAAATCATCCCCTAATTCTTTTCAAATGCTAAATTTGAACACCATAAGTGGACTACCAATTGCACGCATCAATATAGAAACCACGTAGGCAGCACATTGCAACTTAATTTATTAGGATGTTGCTGCATTTTTTTCAGAAGGTTGCATAAGGATTTTGAAAGAAAAAAAAAATCGAAGTTTTCTGGATCTGAGACAAAGAAAATCTACAAATTTTAGAGGTTTAGGGTTTACGCAGAAACAGAATAACACATGGAGTAGCATATAGAGTGTTGGAAGGAAAATACTCTATGCCGAAAGAGAGGAAGTAACCAGCAATTATACATGCTTATTTTATATGCAGATATAAATATTCCAAAGATATAATGCCAGCATTCTCCAATGGCTCAGCAGAAAATAAAAAGAAGTCCATTAAACCAATATGTCAAAGTATCAGCAGTTGATCTCAGAATAAATACCCCTGGTGTACCATCCAACAAAGAAGTGCAGAGGGGTGTAAAATGAGTAAGCAACAACACATACCGTTACTGCACCGAACACAGGCACCCCACTTCACCTTGCATAAACAACAAACTAATTTTTTCCGAGTTTCCTTCATTCCTTCAAGATTCACAATCGGCTCCATTATCCTAGTATCCTCTACATAGACCTCAGGCATCCACTGACAACAAAACAAGTGAGCAAATTCCATTGACCCGACATCTTCACCTCCAGATCCCCGCTTCCGAACAGGTTTCAAAGCACCACCCTGCTTTGGGCAAAGCACACAAGGCTTATCACTGCTCAGAACCTCATTCTCCTTCTTACACCAAGAACATAACCAAGAACCACCCAAGTCATCTTGGACGCCATAACATCTCTGATGAACTGCCACTCCACAAGAGCTACAAAAAATACAACGGTTTAATGGGTTGCCCGTGTCACCCAAACTACAATAATGGCATAAAGAAGCCGACCCTGAAACCGGACAAGCAACAAGAAGTTTCTCCAACCCCGCATCCCTGCCTAAAAGCTTTCGTTTCTTATTAGGCCTCTCCGAGGTGAGATATATCTTATTCCTAGAACCTAATAGCCACTCTAAACCACTACAAGACGTCGATGATTGCAACAAAGAAGAACTATCTCTATTTTCTTGAACCAATTCATTAGCACCTACACTATCAACTTCCATAAACTGCTCAGCTTCATCTTTGACCTCTTCTTCCACAACCACTCCGGAATCCAATCCAACCTCATTTCCATTAATAGCACTCGGGTCCTTCGCAATGTCACCGTTGCATATGTTATCCCGAAAACTTTTTTCATATCCCAATGACGGAATTTCAAAAAACTTCTCAGTACCCGAAAACCCAAAATTTGATACCTCGTGCAACTTCTCAATATCATCCACAGTCAATTCCCTGAAATACTCCTCGGTCTCATTCCAGATGTTCGATCCACGGGCCTTCTCAGGCACATTGGGCCTCGAAGCCTTCTTTTCCGAGCCAGAATGCGATTTCTTGTGCCGCTTCCTGCTGTCGGAATGCTTAGACAACAAGATGACCAACCCACTGGGAAGAGTGGGGACTGTGGACACCTGGGCATCCTCGCTATCAAATGGGGAGCGCACTGATAGAGCTTTCTTAGCCTGTGTATAGAAGTCAATGGCAATTGGTGTAATTTTCTCAAGATTGGATGGCTTTTTGGTTGGGGACTTCGTAGGAACCCTAGAGTTTGGGCATGGTTTCTCTTCGACGCCGCAACCTCCGTCGGCACCCCTGCCCACCACCACCGTCACCTTCCGCCTCCGCTGACATCGGCCTCCCGTCATCTTCTCCACCAGCCACATCCACCACCACCCCTGCAGCATTCCATTAACATCACCACAAACCCTAAACCTAACCCTAATAGGTTTATCCTACAATGAAACCAACAACTCTACAGATATGTTATATATAGATAGGTTTATAAATTTGCAGAGAGATAAAGTTTGTTGTTTAAAGAGACAATGAAGCGGGATGAGGCTTAGGATTAGGGTTTTCTTTCTGACCTTTTTTTTTTTTCTGATCTGTTTTTTGGAGTTAAATTTCGCTATCGAGGGAATGAATATGTGTGTGTGCGTGTGCCCGTCCGCGTGTGCGTGATAGAGAGAGAGAGAGAGGAGTCGCGTTTTTTGGAGGCACGCAAGGGAGGCGGTTCGTTGTTGAGACAGAGATTTTTTTTAATAGGTGGGGCCCACTAGGGGTTAGTGGAGTCTCGTGAGTGACGTAATACACTGGAAGCGAGTGGAAGAAGGGCATTTATGGACGTGAAATATAGGTGAGGTTAATTCCAACTTGTCACGAAATATCGCCCAAATTTTAATTTATAATCTATTTTGCTATTAAAAAAATTTGGACTAATTATAAATTATATCCTCAAAATTTAAATATTCATATTTATGATCTAAAAAGAATGACATCCATTAATTCTCATTAAATATCTCTCAATTATATCGTATTGCGTCTAACTTTAAATAGAAAATGTCTATTTAACGAGTGTTGTAACTTGTAAAAAAAAAATAGGTATTTTCAAAAAGAAAAATTTAAATAGTATTACATGAATTATCATAAATGTAAAATATACGACACAATGTAATTGACTTAACAAAAAAAAAAGTTTTACATTAAAAAAAAAATTATTGACTCGAACACAACACAAAAATAATATGACATGATACAAAATAACACGACACGAAAATGTTACGATAGGACAAAATTGAGAAGTGTCTAACGAGTATTAATTGGTGAAATTTTTTTTAGATTATAAACGTAAAATATTTAAATTTGAAGGTGTAATTTATAATTAATCCAAACTTTTTTAATAGTAAAATAGATAACAATTAATCCCCGTGCAGATTGATATAAATTTATATCTTTCATAATTCAAAGTGTAAATTAATATTTTTAAATTTTAAGATACAAATCTTTTCAGGTGCAATTTAATATTAGCCCTGGTGCGTCACTTCGAATCCGGCCGGATCTGTAAAATTAGTTGAATTCTATTTCCCCACATCACAATCTCTCAAATATTGCTAGAATTTGAAAATATATTCTAAATTTAAATTTTTAAAAAAATTTAAAATTCTTTAAAAAAAATTTAATCCTACCACAAAAAAATTAAGAAAGACTCATTTATTTACTCAAATTAAAAGAAATTCAAATTTTTACCCAAATATTTAATGTTGCAATTTTACTATCCTTTAAAGATTTGTGTAAAGATTTGAATCTCCTTTAATTTGAGTAAAAAAATGAGTCTTTCATCCTTTAAAGATTCAATGATCATATTTTACCTTATTTTAAATTTTGGTTTGCCCTCATTTAAATTTGAGTTTATCAATTAAAACCTTTTGTATTAAATCAAGTTTTTTTACTCAAATATTAATTTAAATTTGAATCATGATAGAAGATGTTATAAGAAATTTAATTTTTAATTTATAAAGGCAAACAACAACTAAGATTAATTCAATTTCCATCTATTTTAATCGAATTATAAAAAAATTATCAAAAAGAAAAACACCCTAAAACATTAACTTTTATGTACTGCCCCCAAATGTAGATAGTTCAATCAATGCACTCCCAATAACAAACATCTTCATCAATTTACACATACCGTTTTCTTTATTTTAATTTTAAATTACTATATTAAACATAAATATTACAAGACTAGTGTTCGATTTTTGATATGTGTGGATTGATGGTAAATAAATACCTCTCTTTTCATCCCAAATCCAATTTAATAATAACAAATGACCCTAAAAAATTTCTGCCTATTTCTCCCAGACTCTTAACCTTCACACTCTTTCTTTTCTCTTTTCTCTCTTCTTACCCTTCAATCATGCTTTCCTAATCCCAACCCTCCTCCGGCTTCCTGATGCAGCGATAAACATAAAAACACAAAAGAAATCAGAATTTTCTTTGTGCAAAAAATGCACTTTGAATCCCCAAAAAATATAAGAAAAGAACTCTTAAAAATATTATTGATTGACTTGATTCAATATTTCAAGTGGTTACATAATTACACTTTTAGAGGGTCCAAGAAAAGTTTCTATCATCCCCCAACTATCTAATTTAATGAATCTTTCAACTACCTGCATTATACCTCTTACCATCTCCCAATTACTTTTTTTTTTTTGCTCATGTAAGAGGTAAAAGGAAAGAGAGTTATTACAAGCATATTTTACTAACTACTTAAACTAAAATTAAGAAGCTAAAGAACTAAGTAACTATCCAAAGACCCTCTTGTGGTTGATGTGGAAAAGTACTCATTCTCATGGAGCACTATCTTTTGGACTACTTGTGGAAGATGATCTCCAAGAATGGTTCCTTCCCTATTTGTAGTGATTCCCCATTTTGCAAAGGCATGGGCAGCTTCGTTCGCTTCTCTATACACATGCATCAGACTCTATTCAGGGTGTTGTTCTAGGAAATGCTTTGTATCCTTTGTGACTATCTCAATGGCCCAAGGGATTTTGAAGCAGGGATTCATAGCAGAAAAAACTGTTACTTAGAAGTCACTTTCCAACACAACATAGTTCCATTCTTTCATATGTGCCCACATAGCTGCCTCTATAATTGCTAAAGTTTCTGCCTTAAAGACGGTTTTTTTCCTTTCCAGAGAGCCTCTTGTGGTTGCTGGGGAAGAGTCCTCATTCTCATGGAGCACTATCTTTTTTACTACTTGTGGAAGATGATCTGCAATAATGGTTCCTTCCCTCTTTGTACTGATTCCCCATTTCCCAAGGGCATGGGCAGCTTCGTTTGCTTCTCTATACACATGCAACAGACTCCATTCAGGATGTTGTTCTAGGAAATGCTTTGTATCTTTTGTGACTATCTCAATGGCCCAAGGAATTTTGAAATAGGGATTCATAGTAGCAAAAATTGTTACTTGGGAGTCACTTTCCAACACAAAATAGTTCCATTCTTTCGTATGTGCCCACATATTTGCCTCTCCAATTGCTAAAGTTTCTGCCTTATTTGTTTTCCTTTATAGCCTTTACCCATGCCTCCATTACTTGACCCTGTCAATTGATGAGATATAAGATTCCTCTTCCCCTATGGCTGCATCCACGTCAACTTTGATAGTGCCATCCATGGGCTTGGACCAGTCATTTTGAGCATGATTCCGTGCAGCCATTCTTGCAGTGATTGGTTGAATTCTAACTTGACCGTGCTCATTGAAGGTATTTGAGACTTCATTGAGAATAGTCATCAGATCTAGCTTGCATTCCTGAAATAGATCATATTCCTCCACTTCCACACTGTTGTAATCAAAACTGCAGAGAATAGTAAGAGTTTACTATAATGTGGGCTGTCTGAACCAAACACAAGAGTAGGATTGAGAATATTGTAAAACTATTCTTGAAGAGTAAAATGAGAAAAAGATTCAGCCCTGAATTCCCAAATCTGGAACCAAACGGGAAATGTCGCATGTGAAAAACAATTGAGTATTAGTCTCCACAGCCTGATTACACATAGGGCATAATGGATCTGAAATTAGAAATCTAGATGAGAGTGTGGCTTTTGAAGGTAGACTTTCTGTAATGGCTCTCCATAAATTCAACTTGAGTCTTGGGTAAAGTTTAGAATCCCACGGTTTAGTCCAGTTGGTAGTACTGAGATAACAGCTATGAGTGTCAAGAATGTCTCTGTGCATAGAGTAGGCAGATTTGGAAGTGAGCTTCCCTGATGCATTAGGGATCCAAGCCATGTGATCATCTTTAGGAAACATTGGCAGTTGAATATTTTGGATGGCTTGCACATTGATACGACATAAAAGACTCTGAATTAAACCAACATTTCATGACTTTGTATCAGAGTTAATGAGTTCATTAATTGTATTAGGAATCTGATGAGCATCTTGCATCAACAATGGCTTGAAGTAAGGCAGGTCAGGAATCCAAGGATCAGTCCAGATTTTTACCTTATGGCCTTTCTCCATTATGTAGCATGCTCATCTTTCTATAATGGACCTACATTCCAACTATTTAATTTAATGCAACTTTCAACTGCTTACATTATTAACTCACTACAAACTTGAACAATAAACTATTCGAAATTGGGCCAAGTATCGATCTAAGGCTCATTAACTCTTGGGTCAAGTATAACATTGTGTCAAGATCAATATTTTACAACTCTATTCAACTCAACAAAACCTTAATTCCAACTATTTGGGGTCGCTATATGAATCATGTTTCTCCATTGAGTTTTATAAAAGGTCATACGTTTTGTTAGATGATTGGTTATTATATCATTTTTTACTATTTTGTTCACAATTATTTTATGCCTATCTCTACCTCTCATATTACCATCAAAATGTGTCAAATTGCTTTTCCTTACTGGTGCATTATTAGGTCTTTTATAAATATACCAAAGTCACTTAAGTCGTGTCTCTCTTATTTTATCTCATATTGGTGCTACTTATGTGATTTTTGCAAGTATACTCATTTTTAATTTAATATCTCTTAATTTATCTCATTGTTATTCTGGGAGAGAGGGGAGAAAACGAAGTGAATCTTCTCCCACGATTGTACACATTTAACGCACGATACTACCTAGCGGGGATGAATAAGTTTTTTGATTTTAGTTCAATCAAATACTAATTAAAAATCTATTATTATCTCAATTATCTCTCCTCACTTAAATATAACAATTAAAAATAAGAATCCCTCTTTAACTACCATGACCCCAAGTAGATTGATGTTGTTAATTTTAAAAATTAAATGCAAAAACACTAAATCTCACACGGAGAACCCATATCTCAAACGCAACCATGAATAAAATAGATTTTAATAAATTATTCATATAAACACATAGTGCGCATATGTGCAAACAATCACAAGTGTGTATGCATAAACAATAAAGAACATGAGTGATTAATTTTGAAAAAATGGTTTTGATAAAGTTAATTTTTAGCAACTTTTTGCTTAAATAAAAGTAAGACCCACACCTCGAAGTTGGTGGGGCCAAATTTGTGTTATCCTCCGTGAAGAGATTAACAAAATATATTTATTTGTTCAAAATCATTAACTATTGAATAAGAAATTATATCTCATAGTGACCCACTTGAATAAATGGAAGAAACTAAGAATTATATGGTGTAGTGT